ATGGTGCAAGAGGTGGAGTGGGAGTCTACTGGGGAGACAATGACCCAAGGTTAGACTACTAAATTATGTTATGATGAGTTTTCAATTCATTCAAAGAATGAATGTAAAAGTTTGTTCTTATTACAGTGTTAAAGTTTTTACTTATTACAGTGTGTGTAATATGATAGTTGGTTATATTAGGGTTTGATGTTTCGTGTATTTTATTGGTCATTATATCATCTTGTAGAAATGTAAGTAGTCTAGTTGTGCCTGATATGATAGTTGGTTATACTAGTGGGCTTGATGCAAATCTACAGTAGATTATGTTACATGCAATTTATTGGTCATTATATCATCTTGTAGAAACGTAAGCAGAGGATTATCTGATGGCCGCCAAACCAACAACAGAGCTGAGATTGAGGTAATGTATAATAACATGTACAACAAAACCTTTGTACAACAAAAATCTTAAATGATGAAATGTGTGCTATGGTAGAGTTTTGGAAGTTTTCTTTTAATAAAAAGTTAGTGGTTAAAAAAAGGAAGGATACTGAAAACCAAATATCTCCTTTATTATGAAGGATGTTCAGATTTTCCTAATTTTCACAGGGAATTAGCTACCCCTAAAACTTGACATCTTGATTCACAAGGTTTTGTTTGTTCCTACCTCACCTTGATAAATCTGCCCATTTTGACCGACCAAATAAACCCCAGCTGAGTTCACTCTCAATATTGCTCCTCCTGGCAGTTGCCCGAAGAGTTTTGTGAGATGCTACAAAACCAATCGGCCAATCATCGATGCGATAGTCTGTATAGACATTTTCATGGTTTTATTACCCGATGAAGCAGAGCATTCTGATTGGGTCCATGGACTTAACACCAGGCCATGAACCGCCACATATGAATGGGATTGACCTTTTATGCCATGGGGTCTCTAGACCCAGTGGAAAGTGACAATGAAAACTTGAGATTTATAGTAAATTTTGAATGGTAATGGGGTACTTACTTTTTCTGTAGTCAATTCTTGAATTCTGCCATTATGAATACTACACATGTATTGTAGGCTGCAAGAACAGCTCTCGACCAGGCTAGGAGCCAAGGTTACAGTGATGTCACAATCAAGACCGACAGTGAATTCCTTGTCAAAAGTAAGTGCTACATGTAGCTAGCATTGCGATAAAATATTTTCTTATATAACATTCAGATTTAGCCATCTTTGCCACATAAAGATACAGCCAACTTTCATCCTTCAAGTAGTGAAATAACTCCTCTTTATGCAAGAACATGGCAACAGAATTGATTAACCCATTGTGCTCTTGGTGACATTCTTACCCAATATGTCTGTATATACTATATCACATTTTAGGTGCAAATGACTGGATGCCCCGTTGGAAGGAGAATGGATGGAAGACTTACTCATACATTGTACTTATAAATTGTATCACATTTTAGGTGCAAATGACTGGATGCCTCATTGGAAGGAGAATGGATGGAAGACTTACTCATACATTGTACTTATAAATTGTATCACATTCTAGGTGCAAATGACTGGATGCCTCATTGGAAGGAGAATGGATGGAAGACTTACTCATACATTGTACTTATAAATTGTATCACATTCTAGGTGCAAATGACTGGATGCCTCATTGGAAGGAGAATGGATGGAAGACTTACTCATACATTGTACTTATAAATTGTATCACATTCTAGGTGCAAATGACTGGATGCCTCATTGGAAGGAGAATGGATGGAAGACTTACTCGTACATTGTACTTTTAAATTGTATCACATTTTAGGTGCAAATGACTGGATGCCCCGTTGGAAGAATTGATGGGAGACTTACTCATACATTGTACTTATAAATTGTATCACATTCTAGGTGCAAATGACTGGATGCCCCGTTGGAAAGAGAATGGATGGAAGACTTACTCTGGCAATCCAGTGGCCAACAGAGATGAATTCCAGGAGATGGATAGAGCCGCACAAGGCATGAATGTGAGATATGTAAGTAAAACATGTTGCATTCCCAACATTCAATCCAATGAAGTGTTGAGACATCGTTGAGATTTGTAGAACATTACATAATATGATTTTTAACAATTCAGCATTAAACACCAGCCAATCGTATCACTTATTCAACCATCCCCTTCTTATAAAAAAGGTTTGCATCCTTGTAGCGATAACAAAGTGAATTAAGATTTTTCAAGTGAGATTTATGTTCATACATATGTATGAGCATTTGAGAGCAGTCCGAGGGCTTCAATAGAATTGTTTCTGACAAAATGCTTTCACCAAATATGAAAGGAGCATGGAAAGTATAGCAACAGATTTCAAACAGTCATATATTGGATTTTGTCTGTGTTCTGAGGATTCAAACAGGTGCATATGTTAGGCCAATGCATTACCTTCAAGAAAAATACTCTTTGAGATGATAAAATAATTTTGACTTTGAGACAGAGAAGATGCAAACAACCCACCCACATCTTTTTTCTGAAATCAATATGTTGCGTTTTGAGACACAGTAAACCCCTCTAAAGTAATTCCTTTTAGAAAAGTGAAAAACAATATTTCCCATGTTATTTTCCCATATAGGGGAAAACTCATACGATCCATTGTTTTCAGCTTAATTTTGGTCACCCATAATGGATTTATTTAAACTAATTACATTGGCCTAACATATGCACATATTTAAATCTTCAGAGAATAGCCAAAATCCAAATGACTGTCCTAAATCAATTGCGATACTTTCTGTCCTCCTTTGACAGCCATTCACAAAGCCTTATACATTAACCAAGAATATGTAAAAATTAAATCATACCATTCAGTGCAGATTTTGTTCAATTTGAATAGAAAAATTGAAAAATCTGTGTATAATTCCAGGAGCATGTCCCAGGACACAAGGGGGTTCATGGAAATGAGATGGCAGACAACTTTGCCAGAAGAGGTGCCTATAACAAGTATTAACTTAATTTGAACCATGAACTGGCTATAGCCTTTTAAGCAACAGCCATGACTTGCTAAGGCATGTATCTCTTACACCAAATAAGGATAACATTTCCAAAAATATCACTTAGAAACTTCGGACTGAGACAGCTACCAAAGAAAACATATATCAAGGAAATTAACAATGCCGAGTCAGTAATTGCAACCTGATTACTTATTAATAGAAAAGGTGCCATTAATTTAGTGCATAGGCAATGTTGCAAGAAATTGTCATAAGTAAATTTTTCAATCCATTAGAATAGTAAAATATGGTGCTAAAATTAAAACAGCAATAAATCTGAAGTTGTCATTATCTATTTTTTACATTCACCATTTTAGGTTTAATGTTATTGTTAGTCGTGGCATCAATATTATTCATAGCTTTAGATGTACATGTAGTCATAGTGTAATTATCCCACCGAACGAAGTTCGAGGGGGATATAGAAAAGCCGTTCGTCCGTCCGTCCGTCCGTTCATCCGTCCGTTCGTCCGTCCGTTCGTCCGTCCGTTCGTGTGTCCGGGCAATAACTCAAATACCGGTTAACGGATTTCATTCAAATTTTATAGGCTTATGCCTTATGGGTGTAGGACCTCTGCTCGAGAAGGAATTTTCAATATGGCTGCTAAATTCAAAATGGCGGCCATTTTTCGGAAAAAATATAATCTTTGATTACTCAAATACTAGTGGATGGATTTTGTTCAAATTTTATATGCTGTTGTCCGGGTACAAAGGAGCCCTGCTGAAGAAGACATTTTCAAGATGGCCACCATATTTCAAAATGGCAGCCATTTTTCGTAAAAAAAAGTTATCTTTGATAACTTAAATACCATTGAATAGATTTGGATCAAATTTTATATGCTGTTGCCTGGGTACAAAGGAACCTTGCTCAAGAAGACATTTTCAAGATGGCAACCATATTTCAAAATGGCGGCCATTTTTTATAAAAAATGTTATCTTTGATAACTCAAATACTATTGAATGGATTTGGTTCAAATTTTACATGCTGATGCCTAGGGACATAGGAGCTCTGTTCGAGAAGGGATTTTCAAGATGGCAGCTAAATTTCAAAATGGCCACCATTTTTCGTTAAAAAAACATAATCATTGATAACTAAAATACCAGTGAATGGATTTGGTTCCAATTTTATATCCTGATGTTATTGTTGAGGGAAATAGGAGATCTGCTTCAGAAGAAATTTCAAAGGGGTCAGCTGAATTTCAAAATGGCTGCCATTTTTCATAAAAAAGGTAATCTTTGATGGCTTAAATACCATTGGACGGATTTACTTCAAATTTTATATACTGATGCCTATAGATAAAGGAGCTCTGCTTGAGAAGAAATTTTCAAGGTGGCTGTTCGGTGGGATTTGCTACTCCGTGGAGTTGCTGTTTTTCTAGTTTGTATTAGTTATGTTTAGTTTATACTACTACTATTATATTATGTTAACCATATACTTCAGTTTTTACATTGTAATTACAATGCATCTATTCATTATAATCTCAGGTATAAGAATCTTCAAAAAATGTATGATTAGACTCATTTTCATTTTTTTCATTTTCATTCATTTCACTCCAATTCAAGTTCTCTCAAGTTATTTGTTTAAAGTGAGTTAGGAATTTATTCAATTACATGATGGTAAAGTTTGTGAATCTCACACATTTGCATTTAAAGCAGAAATTGTTTATTTTTGTACATTGTTTAGTGTTTACATATATATATAAATAAATAGATATAAGTGACCTGTTGAGCTGAATAATATTTATATACACAATGTATACAGTTAAACCTGTGTTAGTGGAACATACTTGATACCTCAGAATAGTGTTTCTTATTGGTGCTATTCAACCAACAGCGGCTCACTTTATATTAAATACTCATAAATGATACTGTACTTCTACTTAAATTGGCATTACTTATTTTGGCGGCTTTGCTGCTTTGAACATTTGGCGGACTTGCAATATTGAAATGGATATACTATACGATACGGGTACATACAGTATTTACGATTGAAATATAAAATATTGAATTTTGTGGCTACTTTATTTGGTGGACTTTAACAATTTGGCAGAACCGCCAAATTAAAATGGCCACCAAATTAAGTAGAAGTACAGAATTGCAAGTGTTCTACTTAGTGAGGTGTTCCACTTTACAGGTTTTACTGTATGTTTTAAACTTATATGATATTTGACAGCCACACGTTAACAGATTTCCATGGTGCTAACATAGTTAAGTAAAAATACACATAGGTATGTGTACAATTGTTCTGTGTAATTTCACATTAATTTTTGTGTAATTTCACATTAGTTTTCTGTGTAGTTTCACATTTTGGGCTATCAAAGGGAATATAATTTATCCCTCTGATGATCAGGAATGTTATCAGGTAGTTATGTAAAACAGTATTTTTGTTTATGCAACAGCCCAAAAGTCTTTATATCGAGATTTTTAGTAGACTTAGTCTTTGTTTTTGTTTTTTCTTATGACTGTTCATGATTTGATCCTCAATACAAGAAGTGTTTGTGTTTCTCAGTATGTTAAGTTTATATTAAATGTTCATATTTTTTTATTAAAAATTGTTAAAAAGTTATTTTCATATTCCGAAGAAACATATTCTCCACCAAAGATGTTATTTTTATCTTGTCTTGTAATCATATAGAATAGGATACTAGTAGAAAGTAGGCCTTAAATATACAGTGTAGTGAACTAGTCCAACATAAAAAATAAAACATGTATTTAATAGTTCTTATCAGCTTATAGATAGTTTAGACATACTACTAGTTGATACAACTTTCCAGGTGTATTTTCAAAATTGGGTTGTATTCTCAAAACAGTGTAATTTCTATTTACAATAGATTTATTATCTCCAGAATGACAATCAAATGACAACATTCAAAAGGTTGTAAACTAGTCTAGTCTTTAGTTTGATTATTCCTGTTAGCATATAAGAGCCAATAGTAGTTTTTGTAGGAGTTGGGGGATAGTAGGGCCTACCACAATCCAAATGTGAGGTGTAATTGTATCTTATGGAAAGTATTATTTTCTAAACGGTATTTACTATTAACAAACAGTATTAATAATAAAATTAGTTTTATAGTAATATATCTGCAGAGTTCTGTTTTATGTGGCTGTGTGGGTGACACAGTAAAACGAATATTGACCTGGTCCCTCATATTGTTATACTCTGTTATATGATGAACAACTCTTGAAATATGAAAACTTAACTAAAAAGTAGTTCCACCAGTGTTCACTTAAAACAAGTCTTAGTGTTATTTTAGAAAAATCAATATTAGCCATTGACATAATATGTAACAAAATGCCTTACTTTATCCTTTAATTCTTATTTATTAAGCCTGTAAGCATACATTCAATTCAACTATCCTATTTTTTATTTCCCTCAGCTGATATCTCCTTTTGTACACCTTTAATAAATTACATGCAATTGTAGAAAGAGTAAAGACAAACATCTATAATAAGCTAAAGCACCATTTTCAAGCTACCCCCTAAAATGTACATAATATCTTTGTCATGAGACATATTCCTCTATAACATATTCCATAAATTCTGAATTTGAGACATTCAAATTGCAATTCATATTTTATCATGGGCTAAGGGAGATAGAAGTAGTATTCATAAAAAAAAGAAATCAATGCAAAAAATGAACCTGTTTATAGGGGAGAGCACCAATGCCACACAAAGAGAATATTAATCATGAACGAAGCTTCTGTCATCTTTTTATCTATACTACTGCCATCTTTATATTGGCCTAAAAACTTGGTTTTCATACATATTTGTATTCTCCCCAGTCTATTCCATTGCCCCTATTTTGGAAACACACCATTGGTGCTAGTATATTCAGAAACCAAAATGATCCAAAAACAGATCTAAAATTTGCCATTGGTTTATTTTTAAATGTTATATTTCCTCTGTGGAACTCGTAAGTTGTTTGTCCTCTGTAAATCATTAACAATTGCCACGTCCAAAAATAACAAGTCATCAAACAAGTCCCAAACGCTAGGTTAATCAGCACCACAATCCCAAGGTAAGACCATGTTGCACTCCCCATGAACGTTTTAACTGCAACAACAGGAAGGATGAGTTGGGTAACATTACTTCCAGTTAGATTAAAATGCACTGTGTGTACATATTCCACCATGACAGCTAAACTGTACCCTGTACCGACTGACGCATAGAAGCAAAACATGGTAAAGTATCTCTGATTGTAGAATCCAATGCATACTCCAGTGAAGAAGCAATGGTGATCCTGTTTTAAGATGCACCCATTACATAATGTACAATGATGGGATCTGGGAGGAACGTCATGACTGCATGCTGCACAGAATCTCCAGGATTGATCAGGTAATCCGCACAAAGCACTGGTTGATTTTTGCGTGTACACAGAATCCTTTGCTTTCACTATTATGAGGATGTAGTTCATTACAATGTTGAAGACCATGAACAATCCATACATTCTCCTAAAGTGTAATTCATCTGCGTCATAAATCGCTGGACCGAAATAGAAAAATGCTGATGTAAAGAGCAGCGATAACACAATTAGGAAGTACATTATTCCTGCAGAATTTCCAGCACGTAAGAGACATCTGAACATTGAGGATCTCCGTTGAGTGATTGGTAGAGCACCAGACCTTTTCTCTCCAGACCATATTGGAGCATGGTATTCAGTTTGGAAAGCTTTTAGATTGTCTGAACTTGGGGACCCATGAATGATCCCAATATCTTCAAAATCTTGGTGCTCCATCTTGACACAAGAGGTACTATCACAATTTAAACTATTTATAGTTCATGCAGGATATATAAATACTGAGTAAACATCGCTTAAAAGTCCATAGAATGTCATTTTATGTACATTTGAAAATGTTTTTGTTTTGATGATCAATATCCTGTTTCGGTTTCGCCGGAAGTTTCGACACGCATGTGCGCTAAATAAAAAATTTAAACTTTTAAAAACCGGAGATGTTTTCTCGAATATTAAGAAAATCTGAGCTTAATCAAAACAGAATACTGTGATAGAGCGTCAATAATAAAGACAATATGCCTTGGAGATCGTTGATGAGGTAACTATCATTCGTTTTTGACCAGAATGTCGTGTTGAAATTTGAATTATTTTTGGTGGGTGATAATGGATGTGAGTCTGATTTCATAATAAAAAATGATAGAGCCCATGTTACAACATATAGCTTCAAATCCAAATATTCTAAAGATGAATTTCATTTTTGTTAGACTATTGTCCAAGTGACAAGTAATACTCCATTCAAATTTCTTAGTCTTCGTCTTGTAACGAGACCCTATCTGTTGCAAGACTTATGCCCGGCACAACCGTCACCATGTTATTAAAGTGTTTTTAAGCTTCGCAAGGATCGTGCCATGACTGTGGTAGTGTTATCGTGATAGCCTGGTATAACCGTGACAATGCTATATTATATTGCATGGCCTGTCATGACCGTAGTCATAGGCCCTGGGAACATGTATAAAATAGCGAGTCGACATCTGTATTGCAAGGCCTGTCATAACCGTGGCCTTGTTAAAGCTTGATATGACCTTGACAATGGTTGCAAGGCCTGTCGTGACTGTGGTAATGTTAAAGCACGATTTGACCGTGGCATTGGTTAAATTAAGTGACATTTAGTAGCATGAGAATACTGTAATAATGAAAAGTTTCATCGTTTACCTTAAATATGTAAATCTAGACCACTACTACTACTAATTTAATTCATAATTCATTTCCACATACTATAATTCTAATCTCATTCAAGAAAGTGAACATTGTCACGGTCATATCAGGCTTTAACATTACCACTGGTACTCACCTGTTACCCTGACGATACGTCAGTGTAACATGGCGGATCAACTTCCGGGACCAAGTTTCGGTACGATATTTTAATTTCTCGATTTACACCTACTTATAAGTCACGCTGTGGATAATAATTTGGCTCAAAGTTAAGGAAGATAGTCTAGTTTGAGAATGTATCAATGTTTTTAGGTCTGGTATGTTAACGAAGATGCAATTCACATATTTAGTTCCTCGCTTTTGTTACACTGACGAACAACCAATATTGGCAATATTCATACCGATCGTCAGTGTAACAAAAGCGAGGAACTAAATATGTGAATTGCGTCTACGTTAGAATACCAAACCTAAGACCACCAGCACATTCTCAAACTAGATTATCTTCATTAACTTCTAGCCAAATCATTATCCAATACGTGATTTATAAGTAGGTGTAAATCGAGAAATAAAAATATCTTACCGAAACCGAGTCCCGGATGTAGTTCCGCCATGTTACACTGACGTATCGTCAGGGTAACTAGGTGAGTACCAGTGATTACCACGGTCATGACAGGCCTTACAACCATTGCCACAGTCATATAAGGCTTTAACATTACCACGGTCATGACAGGCCTTGCAATATCATATAGAATTGTCACGGTCATATCAGGCTTTAACATTACCACGGTCATGACAGGCCTTGTAATATAATATAGCATTGCCACGGTTATACCAGGCTTTCACTATAACAATACCACGGTCATGGCAGAATCTTAGCGAAACTTAAAAACACTGAATAACATGGTGACAGTTGTGCCAGGCATAAGTCTTGCAATAGATAGCATGTGCTTGTAACTGACATGGGCATTTTGAAGCAATCATAGTTGGTGACTCGGTATGCAGCCCAAATCATGATTTGTAATTTCCTTTCAAATTCAATAACATAATCTGGAATGTCCATCAAAAAGGTGGGTGTGGTTTAAAATGCTGCAATCTGATTGGTCATAAAGGGCAAATTTTGAAAGACCATTTTTGATTGTATTGATGATTCGGTCGGTTCTCCAAAAACGATGATGATGAAAGGCATCAGAACAGATGGAATACCTGTAGTATGTTTTCTATTTCAGGTATTTGGTGAATAACGAACAGCTCATACAAAAGGTCAGTCATTGATTTATTTATATTGATTAAGAATATTATAAAATTGCTTTGAATAGCCAAGTACACCCCCAATCCGCAATCAAATTATCAGTGTGAAGTTAGTACTAATTTAGTGCTGATTTCGCACTAACTGAGGTTTGTACTGATTTGGTACTGATTTATTAGCGCTAATTCCACACAAACATTATTTGTACCAATTCCATACCAAATCGGTGCTAAATCAGCACGAAAAAAGATTAGCGCTGATTTAGCATGGAGTTATTTTGGCAGTGTAGTATATGCAGTGTCTGCTGTCTCTTGAGGAAAGCTCTCGTTCTTTGAAAGCAAAAGAGCAGAAACGTCCCAAGCTTGTGTTTGTATTAATGTAAGTACAATATAGTATACTGTACTTGTATATATGTAGTATGCACTTTGTTCATGTTCAAGATATTTTGCCTGGATTGTTTGTAACATAAAGATTCACTCATGATGAACATAATAAACATATTGCAATTGCATACTGTCTGCTATATGTCACTTATTACTGACTCTATCTCTTTTTCCTAAATATAATGAAGGACCCACGGTCCTGTGCTCACACAGTTTGGAACCTTTAGAGGAATTTATATCCTGACTTTCAAACAAAAATATTGATTTGGATTTGTAGTCTCTTACTTTGAGAAACTTAGATAGCATAGTTGTGTGACCTAGTTTGATGACCTTTGACCTTGAAAATTTTACTTATTCAGAGCTCAGTAAGGTCTTTTGTGATTAAGGTGACCAAAATTTACATCCAAAAATCAATTTGAAAAACTTTTTTGACCTTTCGAAGGTCACTGAAGGTCAAGTAAAGGTCAAATCCTAAAACTAATGTCAGATTTGAACTCCTGGCAACTTGTAGATGATTTTCAAAAAAAAATTTGGTCAAATTGAAGCAAGTTGAAAAATAACTTATTTTTACTGTTTTTGACGTCAAATATCTCAAAAACTGTAAAAATTTGATGCTGACATATATTGAGAAATATGTAGGGAATGCTTAAATCTATTAATGATGTAATTTATTGCAGGAAATGATCAAGTATAAGGCAAACTTTAAGAATCTTGTCAATCACAAAACCTGCCATTGACTTTATACATGAGAAAGTTTCCTGAAAATGACAAGTCCTACTTTTTTCAAATTTTATAGAGTAAACACCAAAAACCGTAATTCCAAGAGTTTTGAAATCTTCAGAGGACATAAGTTGCATATACATCAACTACTAAAAGTTATTTGAAAGTTCTACTTCAACAAAGTGTCTAGTATTTACAGAAAATTTGACTTTTTGACTTCAAAATCCGCAATTTCTCGGAAACCAAGCGAACTTGGGAAATGGCGATGATAGGTCAAATAGGCATTAAAATGAATGTGGATATGACTCAATCCGAATAGCAGTTTTAATTTGTGCGGCCAATGTTGACAGACCAACGGACGGACGGACCAACGGACAGACGGATGCCTGGTCAATCCCATAGGCTCACTGTGTGAGCCAAAAATAACAACATAAGACAAAATCTGACAAAGTGTGCCATTTTGAGCACAATAAGTATTCGAAGTACTGATGTCTGTTCATATTCTCTACCCTCTGTTACCATTTCAGCTGGCTGAGTCGTATCCTATTAGACGTGCTGCACAGTTGACTGCTTACTTCTACCACAGATCGAAATCTATAGGTTAGTTAGCTGTCAGTTAAGTTATAAATTCAGGCAGAACATTTGGGCACAGAATGATTATATGAACTGTCCTTTTTTCTTCAGAAACTGACATTCAGAACTGCCTTTTCATCAGTTCATTTCCCTAAACAGGATTCATCAATTACCATAGAGAATTTGTCTGCATGCTCGTATATATTGTGAAGTTAGCATGTAATAAAAATCTAAATAAAGGATACGTAATTGATTTTACTATTTCTTCCTTTTTGAATAAACCATCACTCACAATAAATTAAACTCAAAGTTTCACAAGTTCCAAAATCAGGTCCAGTCCTCTACTGAGTATGTACAAAAGATTATCTGATAAACATAACGATGATTCATTACACCAAGTCTTTCTGTCATTCCTTGGCTGTCTTAGAATTCTATGGTACCTCTTATACGGCATTTTACAAAGAATTTGGACAAAATTGTTCATAGTGTTTAATTTTGTGCCTGTGTGTTACTGTTACACCTCAAAAATCCTTTGTTTCAAAGCTTTTTTTGTCAAAATGCTTCGCAACAAAGCAATTAAATCTGCAGTGTAGCTCTAACCTATGTTAAATTATTATCTTTATTTGTCCTGAATGCCATGTTTATTTTTTGCAGGAAATGACCTGAAGGACTCAGGAGCTGCTCAGAAACTACAAGATGATGCCAATTTTTATGCAAGACAAACTGAGAACAAATTAAGTAACTTTAAAAAGACATTTACTCAGGACGTCACAGAGGGATTTAAAAAATTGCAAGATGATATAAAAAAGCAGCAGAAAAAATGATATTTTGTACGTAATAGCGTAATGATTTGATAAAGAATATTGTTCATGTATTTATAATGCTTACTCCTGTTAAATTGTGAAAGACTGAATTTGTTATTTATACTTGATATAAAACCTGTAGGTTATATAGTCTTAACCATAGTACCATATACAGTAGTCTGTTGAGTATTAACTAGTAAAATAAATCATTAAGTAAAATATATGTTTATAATTATTTATTTATTTTGCACTGTAAAAATGCAAAAGGCTGCAACTTACACTATTAAATGAGTACAAACCTTTCTGAATGAAACAAAGCTTGAAAGAAAATGGCTTTCCCCATATAATTAAGCAAAATGAAGTTTCGAAATCTAAGAGTGCATCTCCAAACTTTTTGAATTCACTCATTATCCAATTTTGTTGAAGCATTGATCTTTACAGAAAAGTAAGCACCACTCTGTTAATGGTACGACTTCAAATCAAATCATTCTTGATGATCATAGCCGAATGAAGTTGAAAAATAATTTTGAAAAGGCATGAAAAGTGAACTGCAGGTTTCTATGATTGTTTACGTTCAAATTTTGTTAATGTGTTGTCAGGATTCAAAGCTGCTCTTAAATTTGCTGCTGCTTTACCTTGCAGTCACATCCTATTTTCTAATGTTTGAATCATTTTTAAGTTAAATTCTTCTAATGACCATATCTGTCCCACATTCTTTAAAATGGTTTGTGGAGAAAATGTTTGGGATTACTTATTTAGCTTTGTTTTAATATTTATATTGGCACTATCACATAAAGAAGTCGGTCTTGTTTAAACCAAGAAACTTTGATGATCATTTATATCATGTCTTGATTGATACTCCCAATGGAGAAAAATGAAAAATTCATATACCCAACATTTTCTCCTTTCCAATGGTGCATTGAAACCTTAATGAGAACAGCATTGCCTTTAATGTTTTGCAACACAAGTTGCCAATTACACATAAAAGAACACATTTTATTTCATTCTTTCAGTTGTTTATTGTATAAGTTATTTTTACAGTTTATATTATTAATATCTACAATAGATACAAATGTGCCATAATACATTCATTCATACAATAATGTACAAATCAGTTAAAACAACTATCATACAAAAACATGGAATTACAAGTCCGTTTCAACCTACATTATGTACACTTCAATGTCTCAAGTCAAACTAAAATCTACATTTACAGAATGAAAATGTTGCACATCAATTGAAAATGACTTTCAATATTTATTTCTACAATTATGAGATTTGGGTGGAACACTTTATGGGATATTACACACATAATTATGATACATGTTATTTGGGGGAGGGATATCATATCCTCCCATTTACATTCATGATGATTCACACTGAGTATATTGCCAGGAAGTAATCTGATTATATCATGCATATTGTATCAGAGATGTAACAATTGACTTAACTGACATGTTGAAAGCAACTATAACATTTACCAATGCATACAAGCAATTTTAAACAATGATCTCTGAGTAAACAACATGCTTGGTAATCTAAAAGGCATCCAACATTGAAGTTCACTTTTCATTTTTAATTGGCAAACTGATTATTCATATAATGATGTCATGTTAGTTCTACAGCTAGATGTCATATTAAGGTGGATGTAGCTTGACATCCTTTGAATGCAAGCAATCATTTATAAATCTGACCTCATAAACAGGAATACTCAATCGACATTATGTACCTTAAATTGATAATATTAAGATTAGTTTTGCAAATTATTCTGGCATTATGCAACAATTTAATTGGCACATTGTGATGTTACCTCATTTGTAACACATATTGTCATACAGTCCAGACTACAGAAGACTGAATATAGTCTAGGACACAACTCCAAGAACACTCCAAATCTCCACTTAGGCACCTATCTTGCTGAGGTATTTCATGGAGTCATGCACTAGATCTGTAGACTGTTATGCATTGCACTTAAAATCTCAGTTTGACAATTTATGAATGGAATTCAGATTTTGTATTTTCAAATTTCATTTAATTTAGTTTAATTTTCATTATAATAATTCATGCAATTTAATTGATTCCAATTTTCTCAAAAATGTCCCTACCTTTGAAACAAACACAGGGATTTACACATTTCATTAAGAGATTATTACAGTGAAAATGATGTCATGTATCAGCATATTAAATAAAGTGAAAAATAAATAGAAAAAACATCTGAAGTTCACTTATATAAAGCATGGAACTTTGTGGGTTAAGTCTAATTCAGTTATCAGAGACGTGCTTCCCTACAACACACTTCTACAATATCACAACACAACTCAATCTGGCAAAATTATTAAACTGGCAAAAATGCTGGCATGGGAGGCAAATCTTCTTTATGTTTCAATATCTTCTTAGGCGAGAGCCTAGCCAAAAATACATGATTCATAAATTTCTATGTATCTGATCTGATATAATGCAACTGGTATTCTAAATTTATTTGGATATTGCAAGACAAATATTTCGACACAGAACATGTGTTTGACTATATGACACTAATGGAATGGGTCAGCTGTATGTAAGCGCAATGATGCTTAATCCTATAAGAAAGTCCCATATATTATTGTCTCCAGAAAATATTAACATTAAATTGGAAGTCTATCCAAAATATTTGAGATCTTACTTTTAATTGGTCCTACAATGATTGCCCTAGGCTGTAGGAGGCCTTTCTCAAAATATCTTGAATTACGATTCCTGATCTAAATGCATCGACTTTCATTTTCACAATGTAACCATGCCAATATTATTCATGGTAAACATGTCAAAATAGATGTCACCACCTAGTTAGTTATTGTAGATCGTTACAAGTCAAGTGTAACAATATGTTACTTAACCAAAATGCCGAATAAATTGATAAAAAACGGTGGCCATGACAATTTAACAATGCCAAAAAGTAATGACATGAAGAATGTAAATCGTAGTACATGATTTTTTCAGAAAGAGTCTCCTGGATCAAGATTGTAATTACTTTCTCGTATGTTATTGCACCTAAATATTGTACATGTAAAAAACCAACAAAACAGCCTCCTACATGTACATGTGTTAATACATATGACATGTGACCAAACAGAACACAGTCTATTATTTGTATGACATGTGACCAAACAGAACACAGTCTATTATTTGTCCTCCTATACATGTCTCCTAACAAACAAAATTAATGTCCTACAACTATTATGGTTCAAATAACATTATTCGGTAGCTTTTCATAATTGTCTTTTGGATTTGGCGTAGTTGATCCCGCCCGTCTTCTAGGAAGGGTAGGATTTTCAGGGCATCCATTTTGTCTCAGGAATTCTATACATTCTTGGGAGCCACTATTTCTTGCGTACCATATTGCGTACCGACCTTCAGAGTCTGTTATATTAACATCAGCATTATACTGAAAAAATATAGAAAAATGTACAGCCATTGTGTGACAAGATCTTTGCTAATAAGACAAAATAGGCAAGTATATTCTTTAAACTGATTTCTGTGAAGTGGGCAGAAATAACTGATTAGCTACCATAATGCCCTTGTCAACTTTCTGGTTTCCTAGATTGTTAATTGGAACAAGACCATGGATCAAACACAAATCTGATTAGAAATTAAGAGAATCAAAATAAAAATGTTGTGATTAAACCGATTGATTCCATAATAAAAAAAGAGTCACATTAACATTCAAATACATCTCCCATTATCTCCTAAAGGAGCGGCAGTACTCACCCATAATAGAAGTTGAATAAATACTATGTTTCCTAGGGTTGCTGCTATATGTAGGGCTGTTCTGGAGTCTTTGCTACTGAATGGTGAGTTTACTTGGTCAGAATCAGATCTTGCCAGCATGTGAATTATATTAAAGATATCTCCCCTTGCAACAGCATCAATAAGTTGCTGAAATTTAATTTCAAAAGTTATGCAGATAAGGTACAGTATATATTGTCAACATTGAATTCATTTGAAAATTGTGTTCAACATTATCATATGCTTGAATAAAATATTCGTTATTAGGGAAGTAAAGAACAATACATAATACAATAAGATCAAAAGTCGTTATATTTACTGAATGAGTATTTGACTGGGACATGCCCCTTGAGCAAAGCAGTGGTACGGCAAGAGTAAACTACTCACAAATGCTAACCCATATGCTTATAAAAACGTTTGATAAAAGTTATAAATTGAAAAAAAATACACATATGAACTGAAGGTTAACGAAATGTTAGCGCTAGTCTTACCTGCCCTACAGTGATTCCCTCTAGATGCTGCATGGGGGGTAGAAACTCTCTCTGTTCATACTTTGCCCTAATCCAGGCCTCCTTTTCTTCTCTTGATGATGATGGTGTTGGCTTTGTTAGACCTTTAGCATTTGCCTCCCACACACTGTTAGCTACATGATTGCCAATGTTGGTCATCACTGCTACTAGTTCAGGCCTACAATCACATGTATATTATAAATACAAGTCAGGTGTTCTACTAGATGTATCCAGAGGATAGAGCATTGATATAAATGTAAAGTATTATTCTTGGGTATAAGACACTCTTCCCTATATAAGCACTAGGTACCAATTTATGGTTTATAACACCTGATGATTTCGTGAGGTAGTAACCATCAACAAAGACTTTATTCTATAATAATCAATTACAGAATTAATCAAATTTCTCTTGATTTGGGACACTACAGCCACGATAAGGTTGATAAAATGTGACTGAGGCATAAGGAACAATACGTATTAGGAGTCATATGATCACATACAGCTAACAGATTGGCAATCCTTTCTATGAACTAATATCTACTTACGGCCATTCATCAAGATCTAGGGATCGGACTCGGGACAGGTGTGTACCTAGATTCCGATGTACTCCTGAGCATTCTATACATAGGAGAGCACCAAGGTTCAGGCTGGCCCAATCTGGATCTGAAATCAAGCAAGGTAACAAGGTAAATAATGGAATATTGTAAAATAAATGGAATAAAGTAAAATAAACGGAATATTGTAAAATAAATGGAACATTGTACAATAATTGGAATACTGTACAATAAATGCTCAATCAGTTCATTCGGTTCGAAAACTGTATGGTTGGTTTTTAGGTTAGGTTAATTCAGAAAAAAAATTGCCATTCGCGAATATATTGCTGTTCCCTAAAGTGAAGTGAAAATTGAATAGATTCGAAGCAAGAGAAGTTTTCAGCATTATTGATGATCCAATGTGGTATAAAACTCAAGGTTATGGCTATTTTGGCTTTCCAACGATGGATGGTGTTCCAATTGTGGAAAAGATAAAAATAGTGAACCAAACCAAGAAATTATAAAACTGTCGGAGCCCTAATGTATATTATAATATTATAATCAAAGTCTTATACAAAATATTTATAATCTTTGTAAATGCTTCCAATTTCTGTGACATGTACATGAACTTACTTGGAGCCCCACAGTCCACACAATACATGTTGCCCTTTGTGCTGCGTATACTTTGTATGGCTGCTGGGTCTGTCGCAGTTGTCGCCTTAGACTTACTGCTCTCATTGAGTTGGAGACTCGAGAGGATTTGTTGCTCTACTGCACTCACCCAAACTTCACGCTCCTGGAGTAGAAATGATTTATCGTTAATGTATTAAGGGTTCAGGAAATAGGGAATATACTACGTATATTATTAAGTGTAATCTGAACCATATATCCCAGCTATCATTTCGTCCAGTGTAGATCTATCCCATATACCCCAGATGGCATTTTGTCCAGCCTGTCTAAATACAACATTTTACAAACCTGCGTTTTTTGCCTCAAAGAAGCCCAAGTCTGGCTTAAATCAAACTGTTCAATGTTGTGACTGCAAGAGTTAAAAATAATATAGATAGTACTTCTAATTCATACCTCGTAAGAAGGGGCCTCAAAGTTCCATGTTTTATTATCAAGAGACACTATCTGGAACTCATACCCATCAGAGTCTGAAAAACAAATTTTCGATATTCAAAGTTGACAATCCATTTATTTAGACTATTATCTCTATAAAAGGGACAACAATGTATACATGTAAATACTGAATTAAAATTAAGTTACAATAAGAACAAATATTTAAAAAATTTGCTTTTGTTATTGTTTCTTAATAACTGTCTAGCTACAAACATGACAAGTAGATTTTGTGGTTATCAAGATTAGTCCTTATATCGTACACCGGCACATTTTCAAAAATATTATATCAAAATCTACACAGTTTATGAACCTACCATCTCCGTTATCTATATTTTTGCTGGTGCTACTTTTCGCTCGCCGATGCCGCTTTTTGACATTTGGGGTTTCTATTTTTGAATTGGCTGATGTATATTCGGGACCATTAAACACACCTGAAAGTGGAAAGGCATTACATAATTATAAACTTTATAGATGTTAGACTATAACTGACTCAAGGTATGCCTTTATTCCTTAAATTTATTTGCCAAAATCCAGTACAGTATAGATTGAAGTTTTGAAGTTTTTGAAAATATGCAAGACAAACAGAATTAGTGACAATTCAGCTTTTGAAAGAATTTCCCTATTTTTGACTCCCCCACCAAGTCTTTACCAGCAAAACCACATACATTATTTGACTTAAAGTATTAACCATTTTGCCCAGAAAGAGTGGGGTTCAATTAAAATAAGATATTCTTATACCATATAAATATAAAAGATGAAACACCAATAGATGTTTTCAACGAAGGATTTCTGCACCACAGTATAGTAAGAATGATGTAATGATATGAGAGAATCCTAAAAAAATCCCATATTCTTAGACATTAAATGGTTTGCTCATAGGACATTAAACATTCACATTAAATCAGAACCCTTTGAAAGGTAAGAAATCAAGAGATAAATATGTTGAAACTGTCTTACAAAATTCACAAAACACATATAGCTTGTGTATCTAACTCTACTGAGTTTAATCAAAAAGCATGCCACTATCAACCATTTGTAAAATCATGATGTTTTGTGCAATGGACTGTGTAAAGGTATGGGGTATGGGATAACTGTATGCGATAATTATGGGGTAATCTACATTACTGCTGGACTACACGTTGTGATCAACTACAATTCTAGGTGAATCAGTGTACACTGATATGCACAACTTATAGATGTCTCTAATCTGATTGGTGTACAAATTGTTAATGAGTAGCCATCTGTGATGTGAACCAATCAGGTCTGAGATATCTATAAGTTATAAATGATCAGTCCATATTTGGAAAAGCTTCTGATTTACAAGCTAGTGGGAATTAGCACAAAACAAAAATTCACACCAAAGTTTCTACATTGTAATTAATAATAACTAATTGTGATTTTCAAATTTCACTGTAACTCTACTGTATTTAAAGCAAAACAACATTAGTATGAAATACCATGCAGAAACCAACTTTCTACATGCATGTCTGGAATCATTGAAATATGCTTCAAAATGATATATCACACACCACATCAAAGTACACACACTAATATATAAGCACCACATCAAGAATACCACATCAAATCTACCACACTATGTGTAGGCTTACCATGTAACATTCCAACAATCCAACAGATTCAGGAGATGGAAGAAAAACAGACAAACATTTGTATAGACATGCATTCAACTATTTTTATGCCATTTCTACAGTCCTAGTTTTTCCCAGCTCCACTATAAGTTTTCGATGAGATTTGGTGTTAACATAAGTCAGAATGCCTTATGAACTCAGCAAATGCAACATGTTCACTATGTTCTTCAAGAATTCATGAATTCAGCAAATGCATCATGTTCACTATGTTCTTCAAGAATTCATGAACTCAGCAAATGCATCATGTTCACTATGTTCTTCAAGAATTCATGAACTCAGCAAATGCATCATGTTCACTATGTTCTTCAAGAATTCATGAACTCAGCAAATGCATCATGTTCACTATGTTCTTCAAGAATTCATGAACTCAGCAAATGCATCATGTTCACTATGTTCTTCAAGAATTCATGAACTCAGCAAATGCATCATGTTCACTATGTTCTTCAAGAATTCATGAACTCAGCAAATGCATCATGTTCACTATGTTCTTCAAGAATTCATGAACTCAGCAAATGCATCATGTTCACTATGTTCTTCAAGAATTCATGAACTCAGCAAATGCATCATGTTCACTATGTTCTTCAAGAATTCATGAACTCAGCAAATGCATCATGTTCACTGTGTTCTTCAAGAATTCATGAACTCAGCAAATGCATCATGTTCACTATGTTCTTCAAGAATTCATGAATTCAGCAAATGCATCATGTTCACTATGTTCTTCAAGAATTCATGAACTCAGCAAATGCATCATGTTCACTATGTTCTTCAAGAATTCATGATTTGGCGACGGCTTACAAAAATTCAAACAGTGGAATATACATGATACAAGTAGTTCCAAAATAAATAAATTCATATTAGACTATACTGTATGTTTCAAAATAGCCAAATATTCATATGTTTATACAGCTATATATCAAGAGTAAACATTACATTTTTTACAATTCAATCAATAAATAAACAGAAATCTGCAGTTCTATTAAAGTACGATACTGAAGAGTTAAGACACAGGACTTTTTGAAAACAAAATCTTGTGTTTACTGACCTGATGTAATTGAGGAGTTGGGGATGATTACTGCGTCATCACAGTTACTGGACACAGAGCCAAGACGTTCCTTCTGGTCATCATAAGCTGTTAGTAACACATTTTCCTTCCCTTTACCTGAATAAACAAGTTATCATTACAAGGTAAAAACATGCAGACAAGGCATTTTATGACAAAATGACACCACATGGTTGTAATTACTGTACTTCTACTTAATTTGGCAGCCGTTTTAATTTGCCAAATCCGCCAAATTGTTTAAGTCCGCCAAATTAAGTAGCCGCCAAATTCAATATTTCATGATTCAATTGTACATTTGTATGGTATAAATATTTCAATATTGCATGTCCGCCAATTTAAGTAGTCACAAAATGTTCAAAACAGCAAATCCACCAAAATAACCAGTGCCAATTAAATTGAAGTAGAGTACTTGTCAAGTTAAACCACTGAATGCCAAATGACACCAAATGCCAGGAAAGGTGACTGTAACCATATGTTTAACTTTTTGGCACTCTATGAGAAATATATATATTTATCGTAAGATCTGTAAAATGAAGCCCTCTGATTGGTCAGTTCTTGTGCTGTACCAATCTGTATTGCTACTGAGATTGTCCCCGTTGATCATCTCCGTCGCAATACAGAAAATATTGGTACATAGGGGACAATCTCAGTAGCAATACAGAGGATCACACGATAAAAACGTTATTGAATGATTTGAAGTGCAATACAGGATATGTTCTGTCTCGATATTCCTCGTTCCAATATGGAATTTCTCGAGCAGAATATATACTGTATTGCACTTCAAATCATTCAATAACTTATATTGATGTTCAAATAAATGAAACAATACAATTTTGGTCTCCATGATATTGGAGCACCTTGTTGAGAATTTGAAATTTACATTGCACAACAAAGTTGAAAATGAAAGATACAAATCCGCTACTTCAGTCTTCAATGAGACCATTTTGATCATCTGTTAATTGAAACATGTATATTTGAAATATTTGAAGTAGAGAGCATCTAATGACTCACCTATATTGTTGAGTTCAGCTATACCATTAGTGCCAAATATAGGACCCGTGCCTCGGCTGCCTTTGGGAGCTTGGCCAGGGATTTTTACAGTTGTGTGTGATAGCGCAATCTCTTTACCATGTACATCATCCATGTAATCCTACAGCAGAAGCATTCACATATAAATCATGAACAAAGCCAAATTGCTTGATCCCCTAATTTGGTTATTTGTATATGTAGTGCTGCACATACCTAAATGAAACTCATTCCCAAATACAACCTCAGTTTACCAGAGGCTGAGTAGTGAAAGTATGAACCCAATGACCAACTTACGTGTAAACTTGGATGGTATGTGAGTTTGCCATTGTCTCCAAGTGCCACATATTTTTTCTTCCATTCTTTCGTGAGACCCTTGCTGCTCTTTTTGTATAAATATCCCTACAATTACAATGAAATAGATTAAAGTCACAGTCCACCATTTCAATTAGATTCAATGGAACAAAGATATAAGAATTATAAAAACGATTTATTTCTATACTGCCTATATCTGAGAAGTGTTTACATGCATCAAATTCCATATGATATCACTTTGACAAAGTGTTGAATATTCAATGACGAAAATCAAGACAATTTCTACTCACATCTAGTCTATTATGTTGCATTGATCATTTAAATATAAGTAACAAACATGGAGCCATTCCTCTGTAAAAATTAATTTTATTGAGACAAAGATCACATTAAATCTGACAAGTTTCATTACAGATCTGTCAAGCTAAAAATAAAGACTATACATGCACTGTCCCAGCTACTATCAACAAGGCACCTACCTGTCTAATAGGTATGACTCGGCCACTGCCAAGGCTACTGTCAACCCCATTCTTCTTGTCTCCTTTCTTTTCACCTTTTCCATCCTTCTCATCTTTTTTCTGTAAAAAAACAACATCAGTTCACATTTTCCACATTTATGAAGACAAATGTGTTTAAAAGTGTGAGTATGGGTGATCTTCTATATTAAGTCTTCAATTTGTCTATTTTAATTTTTAGACTAGAATCATGCATACAAATGACTCAATAAATCTAAATGCATCTACTGATCAAATACAAACAAACAAATTGACTAAATTTCGTATAATGCACATATTGCACATGTAATCAAATATTTTATAAAAGCTTAAATGTTGATATAAATTTTTGATGTATTGTGCTTTAAATGAATAATAACGACTTTTATGAAGAATCTACAAGCATTCAAAACTTTTAGATAATGATTTGGGAGACTGCACCATGAATACCCCTACAATATCTAATCATACTATATACACCCTACATACAGATACCTCAAAAGTCAGTCTTGCATTAGGGAGGAGAAGTCTCACAATGTAAAGTGTCACCACTTTGTAAATATAATATTTCAACTAGACCCTATATGCAAGACTGATATATCAAATAAAAGCAGATCTTTGGGAGCTAGATGTTAATCATATCTATCATCTATGAAAATAATAAAGTATAAAATGAATAAATATTTGTTACTAAATAAATTAATAGATAGATTATATAATTTTGTTACTATCAGTAACACATTGCCCGAGAAATATATCAATATATGGTGTTCTCCCATTTCATTTAAATGGGCCATTTACTTACTTTTCCCGAGCTTGTGTTAAATTATAATAATGCTAAGTAAATTCTATCAAATGGTACTCTACTATTAGTTATTTTCCTACAATGTTGAATATGTACATGTTAACATCTAGCTATTGCATAGTATTTAGTACAACATAACAATATGAAGGCATCCATCAACATGCAAAAATCAAAATCCCATATCCACCGTGGTTTAAACTCCCTAAAACCCCAAACACAAAAGTATGCATATCAGTATGGTAAACAGTAAACAACAATAACACAACAATACATCCATTACAAGACATTACAAAGTGAAAGATTTTTAGCAAACACCATGGCAACAGATAAAATATACCATGGTAACAGAGTACTCCCAAATACATAAGGCATTAAGTATAACTTCACATTAACATTATTATTCAAGAAAAAAATCTAAAAACTGAGACTTTCTATATGTCTCTTTTTGAGCATTAATTCCTTTAGGTGGGTCAGGTCAATCAGGTGTATTTAATTTAGGTATCCATATTTCTTACAGTCAACTGGTTGGTCATCATTACTCTACCTAGCCCATGACCTGAAAAATCAGGACATGGCCCAGCTAAAATCAATCTGACCTGCACCCGACCAGCACCAGACACACCTATATTAACCACTAAATACATGTATATGAAGCTATTAGAAATGGAAGTTCCATACCATGCTAAATGAAATGTGTGAGTGAACATGATTACATGTACGGTTCAAGGTCAGTACAATTAAGCCCTACAACTTAAAATAAACGATGCAGTTAATTAAATGATTCTTCCACTCAAACACATCACTCACGCACTCGTCAATACACTCAAGACAATCACACAAAAAATTAAGCTAAATTCAGTAATCATGAAAATCAATGAATTCAAATATATCTCGGGGATATTTGGAGAATATTCTGAGAACTTGCTACGAGCGTGTGAAGTGTAAATGGCGGAGAAGAAATAACAACTCACAACTGGTGAAAAACGTCCTAAAGGACAACAGTAAACATTCAACAACAATACAGTAGGAAATAAAACACAATGTCAGAGATAATATTCTTGCACTAGACCCACATACATGTATTAACCCCCATGGTGATTTTTCACAAAGAGTTTTTGAAAGAATCATCAGGTTCATTCAAGGAGATTTTCAATTCAGTTGAATCAATGTAACAAAAAATTATTTTCAGTTTTTTTTGTTTTTAATTTCCAAATATAAAGATTTTTGTTTTACTCTTCAAATACATATCATATTTAACCCAGACCCCAAATATATTAATAGAGGGCCCCACTAGTGCAAGACACACATCTCCCGTTGAGCAATACATAGCTGCATTTTTGGTAGTATAGGGGCCTAGTAAGACATAACAATGATGACGTCATGAATCACACTTACAGCAAACAAGTTTGATCGTCGACGATTTTTTCTACTTTGAGTAGGAGTACTTGTCGGGGTGGGAAGGTCTTTATTAGTCTCTGTCTTATCCTAGATATAGAAGAGACATTCACAATATTTTATCCTATATTTTAGACAATTGGTCCTACAGTTTTGGGGTAATTGTTCCCTTCTCTTCCTTGTTACCACATAACACAAAGTGATCAGTGATTGGATAACATCATTGTAAAATAGCCAATTAGATCCAGCCTTACATCTGGGGTCAGTTTTTGGAGCTACCATAACTGGATGTTTAGAAAAGCTACAGTTAAATCAGAAACGGACCCCTGAGTAAGGCAGACATCAGCCAATCAGAGGGCCTTATACAAAATAGTCTCAAACCCAAACAAAATAGTCTCAAACTTGAAAATGTCAATCTCTGATGCCAGAGTGCTTCATAAGCAATTCTAGATGGAGAAAACATATATAATAGATAGATACAGGTATGCTCATATATTTTGCAGTAAATTGTCAATATCATACTCTATTGTGAGCTCCTGAGATAAAACACTGACAAATCTAGTTATATTTGAATAAAATCTAAAATATTAAATTTCCAAACAGTTTAAAGACATCAACATTTTCTTCAAATTAATCTGCTTTCTTATAATAAAATTATGATTTCTTATATACAAATATAGAAAACTCCACAATAATTAAAAATATAATATCAAAAAAGACACGCTAAAAAGAACTGCCTAAAAACTATAAAAAGATCTAAAAACGTCTATGTCAAAAATGTGCATATAAAATCCAGAATAGAATTTTATTGAAGTTAATTCATATCATAAAAGAGATGAAGAAGTGTTTCTCTATGAAAACTACAAAAAATAAGTAAGTCTTCTAATTGATATTAAGATATTATCAAGAATATTCATACAAGATAACTGAATTTAAATTATATATACGTACATCAAATTCAAATAATTTTATAACTTCATAACAACTAAATGAGAATGTAAATTAACACCAAGAATTAATTTAGGGGACCGTATCATGCATTGCACTCTACCTCACCACCCTATTTAGGAATTAGGACTAACATTTTTTCAATTATTGAGAAGCTCCCTTGATATATTTAATAAGGTGACAACATACACATTTGTATTAGAAAACATGAATGTGATATTAGTTAATTAATATAAACACAAAAATGTGTGTGGCGCAATCTTATGATGCGATGACACCAATGCCAAATATGGTTAGAATGAGAAAGCCATCGGGACTTTTAATAATAGTTGAGAGTTAAACTTCCGATGCAAGAGAATGAGCTTAAGGCAAATAGTTATAAAATCTTCGGGCCACGATATCTTCATTGGTCAACAGCTGACCATGAGAAATTAAAGAGAAAGAAACATGAGGAATGACTAAACATGGGAGAACAAAACGATGACAATCACAATGACCTGATACCTGGGAGAATGATCAAAACATCACTAGGGTGGGAACTGGTCTTATTGGTCAACATAAACATGTTAGGCTGATCAGGTGAGGTTTGAATATGTGTCGATCAGGACCACGGGGACACTTAATTTTCATAGTGAGGCCATTCATAACAAATCTACCAACCACATCCATACAACCATTAGTACAAACATGGCATTCTAAAACAGCAGGGGAGGGTTGGGCCACCACTCAGCGATCAACTAGTACTTGCTCATTTAGAAGCTGAAATAAGCCTCCATCCTAGTTGCCTACATAATACATCATGCATGGTCCTACAGGCTCAAATACCCTCGACTCAACATCACAACCAAATTATTGCAATAACTGTACTGTACAAATATCAAACTTTTATTGAACTGTGCTAGGTTATAACATGAAGTGAATATTCATAACACGCCAACGTCTAGTTTGTTAGTTCAACATTTTTGACTTCATCAGCAATTTTTTACATTATTTGAAGTTGGTAAATCAAATAACAAACATCATTAGTTTGAAACTTTTTCATTGATTTAACTATTCATTAACATTTTGATTCATTATCATTGTGTCTGATTGTTATGATAAACAGTGGACATGTATAAATTTGTTGATTCACGTGACATTCAGATTATTTTTGGTTGATTGCTTAGTTATGGTTGATTGTTTGGTTTTGGTTGATTGATTAGTCAAGCCTCAGGTATTAAATGTGCCTTGATTAAGGTAATGAGTGCCCTCTTTAATAACTTACTAAAACCAGACTGGACCTAACGCGGGTCATACGCCCAAGAAGAGGGGTAAGGGGGGTATTGCTGGGAATTTGCAATTCCTTCATGAAACTATCCATTCGGTCCTAAATAAGCCAACAGAAAGAAAACATAAAATAAAACTCTAATAGGATTGCTTAGCAACAGAATATAAACAGATAATGGATGGATAATACTGGTATCTCATTGAAGCCATTGAGTGTCAATTTTTAAACAAAATACTCATTACAGAATTTTTCTGTTAGTAACAGAATGACAGAATGATTCTTACCAATTGAAATTTGTTTTCATCTTTTTTATTTGGTCAACAATGAGATATTGTCCATTGTTACCTAAGGTTTCCTTAAACTAGAAGCAACATTGTTTATTTAACATTTAAGTGGGTTCTTTAACAGATGTGCATATAATTTAGAATGACAATTGTCATTGTTTGGTAAAAATGCATATTTGGAAAAGGTTTAATACTAATGCTGTAATGTCAACTTAGTAAGACTGATGTCAATTTTGGAAACTTAATGTCATCTTCATAATTTTTGAAAAATAATGTCATCTTTATAAGACTGGTGTCAATTTTGGATACTGATGTCACCTTTATAAGTTTTGGAAATTATGTCATCTTTATAAGACTGATGTCAATTTTGGAAACTGATGTCACCTTTATCAGAATGATGTCATTTTTGTAAGTATGACTGATGTGCACTGACATTCTTAAAATCAAATGAGTGCATATTGTGCAATCCAATCAATATTCTAACAATGTTGCATCCTAGCTTTAGAAAGCACCGTATATAATCTGTTAGTTCTTAACTAATCTATGGAGAATTTCTTCGCCAAGCAGCTTTATTATACAGAGCCCTTCATACATACATGTAATAATGATATAAGTAAACTCAGAATCAGATTTTATTCACATAAAATAGTCTCAGATCATTGAGAGACAATTTGATAAAATAGAAAAATATAAACAAATTAACACATAGTTGCACCTTTTCCCCTAAAATAAAGAAAAATAACATACTGGTAGATGAAACAAAAGCCACCTGAAACACTGTACTGTACATAATTGTAATGAAAGGTGATCTAGGGTAATACAAGTCATGCAATTTATACTGACTCATCTTCTCTGGCACAAGGTGACAAACTCATCCTCTGTCTGGATGGATTCATGTTACCCCATTGTCATGAAGATGGACAGATATCATATGAGGGACAAGTTTTGATTTTCACACATACTTTTGAGAAAATGTTGATATAGAAAATTGCGATATAAAATATGTCCATTTACAAAACTGAATTCTGGATAGAAACTTTTAAAATTTCAATTCAAAAATAAATGTGAAAATAGATGACAACTGATCAAGGGTGAAAACCAATACTAGCTTGGTGTTGCTAAGGCGAGAGATAGAAAGCTAACTGCAAAATGTGTATCCAAGGTAACTGAAAACAAACAAAGGGTCCGATCTCTTGAAAACATTCACCAAAATTTCACCAAAATGTTTTCAATAGATTCCCATGGGTGAAATTGGTAACATATAGCCTGTGACATCACCATGACAACAGCCAATCAAATATCACCATCACGATATATGCTTCTACAGGAGACATCTAAGCTAAGAGAAACGTCCAATCACAGCACGGATACATATACATGAGCAAAAGCGTAATGTGAGGCTATATAGCGAGAACGTGAGCATTCCAAAAACGCTCTAAACATGGCGCCACTCACGACGATGAGCTTCCATTTAAACCCTTGTTTTGTGTTGTTGTTAGGTGATGACAGTATCAGTTCTTCGTTGTTGCTACCAAAAGCCTAGAAGAAACACAGCAAAAATATGAACAAGCATTACTGTACAATCTGAAACAATTTAGATATCTTTGACGACAGACTTCCAAATCTTCCTGAAATATATAATATTAAGTTTCCTAGGCATAAGTTCATAAAATCAAATGAAAGAAAGAACTCTACAACTGTTGAGAATACAAAAACTAAGATAAAGAATTCAACAAAAATGACCAAATTAATGTAATATAATATAATAACACTAAATATAAAAAATAATGAAAGGGGAGAGGAAAAAGCATGCATTGGTAGCATGATCACATGATGGATGTGTCTAGCTTTTTACTTAACTACCTGTGTACAAGTAACACCACTGTGAGTCATACAGTATAATAGGTGTTGGAGCACAAATTGAATGTCAATCTCTGAATTTGTTTATTAAGTCTGTCTTCAATATTGTGGAAAGGGGCATCTATTATTTATTATGGCCTCATGTTATGGGTTGCTACATCCTTTTCACGATGAAACTACAGGGTGAACCAAAATAGGTAACCCAACCAAATGTTCATAACTCAGTCATTATGTACCTGACAATTCCCAGTCTGTATAAACCCAGTTTAGGTCAGATAGAATATCATAGATGCATCCATCTCATGAGAAAATCAAAGAGAGTGGTCTTACCAAAAGTGTTTTATCAACCACCCTTGAATCCAGAATGATGTATTTACAAAAGCCATGACTTCAATGCTATTCCTGTACACAGGTTTACTAATTTCTATATCTACTGTGTAACCTAAATTATTAATGCTGTCCAACCACTAAACTAAATCTGTCTATCTAAAGGTGTTAAAGCCAACTGTTAGTCATGTGATAGCTTGTCCAAATAAGGGCAAATCCAAAACGCAAATCCTAACTTCAACTTGAAAAGAATCTGTGCCATGATGTTGAAATGATGAAATAACTAAAATAATCAACTAAACCAGGAACAGAAGTAAAAATAAATCGTAAAAAAATCAGTCATTGAAAAAGGTCGGAGATGACACATGGCATATCGCATATGACACACAGCAAAGATGACACATGGCAGAGATGGATTTCAAGAGAGCATGAACTGCACACAGATCTCAGGCATAGCATCGTGTTTCACTTACATTGATATAACTTGGTGTTTTGCTCTTCCTACTAAGCAACGGTGTGCTTGTCGGACTGGCAAGCTCTTCAGAAATATCGGGGGATTTGTTTTTCTTTTTTCGCCGAAGTTTTGGTGTGAGACGGGGGCTTGGGAGCTCTCGGAGATCCTACATGCATACACAACAACCTTACCAACAATGAATTTCAGCTAAGGATTCTGGGTACTATAATGAATCATGGGTTACCATAAACCATGACAAGAATCAACAAAGCTACTTTAACCACCCAAAACCTGTGAGCCAATGGGATGATGGTTAGGTCTTCAGTCCTGGGCTGTCAAAAATTGTTGGCAAGATGCAGACATGCAAACATCAAAAAAATAGTATAAAAGAATGATGAATAAAATTTTAAACAAAAACTGCAGAACTGAAACAGATCAATGATTTAGTCAAAGTAAATTGGAAAAGCTGGGGTGTCCACATAACTTCAATTAATAATCACACCATCTGCAAAATAAAAAAAAAGTTGCATCATTATATATCAAGTCATCAAAATTATCACCATGCTTAACCCAAATTCAACCAAAACTGGTAGTGGCAAATTAAATGATAGTTTACAACAACAACAACAACAATTATGCTCAGTGAAGCATGCTCTAAAAATGAACAGTGCAAGATACTTACAAGAAACTTTACGAAAGATGCGTGAAACATAATACATTATGTGAATAATAAATTGAATGGTGAAAACTACAATATCAATGCATACAACAATAACAACTACATGTATAGATAATATAACATGTACAGTAAAACCTGTCTAATCTAAATGCCACTGCAAAATGCCACTGCAAGTGTTCAGATTGGTAGGTGTTCACATTTCAAGGTCTTCAACATGGAAGCCTATGGCAGATTCAAAAAGGGAACCCCAAAGTGTTCACATTAAAAGTGTTCAGATTACAAAGGTGTTCAGATATACAGGTTTTACTGTAGACCCAAGGTTGAATAAGAGTAAAAAAGTGTGATTAACTTACACTTACAACATGACCCAGAGCCACACATGAATTTAGCAAACTACCCATGAAAGCACTGGAAGCAAGGGTCAAATGTAAGGGAATAACACACAGTATAACTTACAGTGAAAATATGGGATCGGTTTTTCTCTTTTCTGGGAAGAATGGGTGTAACACTTGGGTTGGCTAAGGTGGGTCGTTCCCCTGTTATAGAGCCCTGCATGCAAAACAAACAAACAACATGCAAAAAGCTGAATCACAAAAGCGTCGCACATATTCTCGTCATGACATAAATCAGGCTCTAAGGATCAGTGTTATGAGGATAGAGAATTTCAGGGTTTAATTTCTAGACTGTTTTAATCCCACTTGAAATAATAGAACTATACAAGGTAACACAATGCAACCCTCTAATTGTTAAACAACTCTTAATAATGGGAGATTTGTTCAATTCTATCATAATTGAAAATTTTATTATAAAATTGGATGGTTGAAGTTCTGTGTCACCCTGTATATGAGGTTCCTTAATGACACATTAACCCAACCAGTTTGTCAGAAAATAATTTAGCATTTTGGCACTAATGAAAGCACAGCTCTATTGAATCCCCAAAATCTTATATAATATTGAGGAAGAGTAAAATATTTCAACCCAAATAGGAACTACTACAAATAAGCATGATTGTATAGATAAGCATGAATGATCTTTGAGAATATATGGACAATATTAAAAATAAAATCTTTACAATGTCAGCCATGTGTGAGAGCATGATTGTATAGATAAGCATGTATAATCTTATTGAGAATATATGGACAACATTAAAAATGACATCTTTACAATTTTAGCCATGTGTGAGATAGTGATGAATGCAAACACACACTGGTGGCATGCATTTCAAGTCTGGATGTCTATTATGTCACATTGGTTCTGTTTTGAACTGAGTCACATTGGTTCTGTTTTGAATTGAGTCACATTGGTTCTGTTTTGAATTGAGTCAGTTTGTGTTTGTTTGCAGCATTTCCAACATTACACTGGAAATGATAATACTCAAACAGTTTGACTTATATTTAGTAAAGAATTTCCAGATTTTAAAAAAGGCAAAAACTGTTCAAGCTCATTTGTTGAGATTTTAGAATTTCTGTTTACCAATGTGACATAGTTCTGCATGATAAGTCATTCAAGTCAATGCATAATGCTGCAGGGGCCAGTTTCAAGAAAATATATTAGATTGTGATTCCTGTTTTCATCTGTCGGAATGTAACTCACAATATCTTCAAGAAAAGGCCTCTGGAAGACATAATAATGCTAGCTGCATTGTGCATAATTTAATAGTAACATTGAAAAATGCAGTAACATATATCTAATGTAAACAATAACAATAATATGAAGCCAACCAAAACATTTCATGATTTTCCTGAATTTTGATGCTCAGATTGAAATTTTAGTTTTTTTATGCACTTAATATGCACATGTTCAAATGTATAACATTCCTTTATTCCGTTTTATCATATTGAAAATTCAGTAAATACCATGCATATTTTGGGTAGACTATTTCAGATGCTATTACATGTACAGAATTCACTAAAATATTAACTTAATGTTAATTTAAAGTTCTGTACATGTATTTGCCACAGAAATGCCTTTTACTATACTACATCTAAAGATAATCTAATAGAAACTAACTCAAAGTTCTACAATATCTACATTATTTAAAACAACATCTAATAATTATAAAATAATTATTCTACTACAATTTGTTGTTCAAACAAACATTAGGACTTAAATATTTTTATTCTAATATTATATTTAAATTATAAAACAAAGTGTGTTTAATATTTTAGTCAGTGCAATGAAGCAATCAAAAGCAGGCGTAGAAGTTAGGTTTCAGAACAGAGCAGTTTAATTAAACAGTATAAGACAAGATTTTAATTAATTTTGAAAGTGAGTGTGAGTGTAGACAATGAGGTACTATGAAGCATACCATCAGGCCTGTAGCCATCTTTTGCCTGTTTTTTAAATTCTGGGGGGTTAAAATTTGAAAATATTGGCCCAAAATCACTGAAAAAGTGCTAAAAATAGGTCAAACTGCATCATTTTGAAAGATTTTTCACCCCCCTTGGCTAAGGGCCTGAGCATTATTAATATTAGACATCACAAATACAAGCCACCCCCTGTTACTACATCAGTTCCAGGGTAGAACTTATATTCAGCATTGGTTTAGTTCCTCTAAGCCAGGAAAGTATTTCCAAAGAAAGTGAGACAAGAAAATAATTGAAATGAAAGACAGTGCAACAATCAGAATATGTGAACTATGAATGAGAGTCAATCATGTGAGCCATGGCCATACAGAACCATGAGTTTCCCTTTTAAAAATACCAGTCACTATGAGCGCAAAGCATGCAGCAGAAACATGTATAGGTTGACTGGTATATTCAAAATATGGCATATGTGAAATATTCTAGCTTAGCACTAGTAGGTAGCCTAGAATTGAAATACTATGTTAATATGTGTGGTTCATTAATTCAGAAATAATGCATAGTGACAAAGTGACAAATAGTATGTGTGACAAATATGGTGATATAAGTAATATTATGTAATATGACATTTAGGTTGTATATGCCATGTTATTAATTGGTGCTATGGCATATAGGTCATACACACCTTTACTATTAATTGGTGAAATGGCATATAGGTCATACACGCCTTTACTATTAATTGGTGAAATGGCATATAGGTCATACACGCCTTTATTATTAATTGGTGAAATGACATACAGGTCATACATGCCTTTATTATCAATTGGTGATATGGCATAAAGGTCATATATGCCATCCTATGTGTGAAATGGCATGTTCTTGCTAATGAAAGAATGTAAGCTAGCTGCACTATGCATTATAACATATCTTCTATGATATAAATACAAACTTGGCAATACTTCATGTAGAAAAGATATGACCAATGACATGTCATATCTCAAACGTGCCATTGTATTTATAATCCAGAAATTATTTTCTAGATTCATGCAATTTTTGGTTGAAGGTCGGCATTCAGTTCTCCACTTACACTAAAAGAGTTAGACTTCTGCACATTATATGTCTTTTTGTTTTTTCTACTGGCCCTGGGTGTTAATAAAGGGGATGGGGGTTCCCTATAAGTCACCATGACCTCCTAAAACAAAGTTAAATTAGTAACAAACAGAGTTATTAAATATAAAGTAGTCAGTTTTAAACAGACAAGCAGTCCTTATAGATTGAAGAATCACAGAGCTCTCCAGAGAAGGAAGTAGTTTAGTTCCATACCACCTCTTATTTTGGAGAGTTCAAATCAACCATGAGCTATGATAGACCTTTTATTTGTACAGCATATTCTTATTCAAAGATGACGTTTTCTAGATTTTCAGAAATCAAAATTGGAGGAGATACCAAGAGACAATGGTTATTCATTTTCAATGCTCATAACAATTTATAATCCCACACGATCGTTAGTTTGAACTTCTAATATCAGCCATACGAAGTAAGTTTATTTTTTATTAATTAACTTGTACATGCATCACTATTGATGCCCATGCATTTCTGGGACAGATGTTAATGCAGTTACGGGTGATGATTCAAATGAGGAAATCCCCGATGTCATATGACATAAATGACATCGTGAATTTGTGATGATTTCGAGTGCAGGTATTGATAAACCAAACCGGGCTGTTCGCACAACATAAATCAAATAATTTAAAGAAATTACAAAAGAAAAAAATCTCATAGAAACACAAAGAACTTAATTTTAAAAAAGAACTAAATACATTAAGATACAACAATAATTTCCTTCGTCTGTGAGAATTTGACAATTCGACATACCTGAGGGGATTCTGGTTTATCAGTCATTTGTAATTGTTGTTCTAACTGTTGTTGTAGCGATTGCTGAAACTGTTGCTGATGTTGCATCTGCTGTTGATTATGCAGCGACTGCAGCTGTTGTTGCAGCTGTTGCTGTTGTGCCATTTCTTGTTGCGCTTGACGCTGACTAAGATAAGCAGCTTTTTCCTGCTCACGCCTCTCTCGTTCCCGCTCCTTTTCAGCCTCTTTTTCACGTTGCTTTTTATCCTTTTTACGCTCCCTGCTGTCCCTTTCCCGTGGAGTGGTGGGTGGGTTATCTTTATACTGACCCTGATTCTGGTTCTAAATGGAAGTGGCACAAAGCATTTACAATATAATGTACACATAGTTTAAAGAGACTCTTTACCATAGGATGGCACAATCAAGACCCCTTTAGACATTTTTGCGTAATGAGTTTCACCACATATTCATTTATCTACTTACCATCGAAGAAGTCCCAAATCCCTCGCTTTCAGTGTTAATTCTGCGATTGTGCTGACCGATTTAATCATTTTCGCAGAAATTAATTCAACTTGAAGTTTGAATATATCGGTAAAATCCCCCTGGTATCTGATTGGTCATTGAATTTGTTTATCATGAACCTTATTGGCTGCCTGGTTCAAGATGCGTCTGTGCACTTGTGTGCTTATTGATTATCTGGACGAAAAACCTATGGTATGTCTTTAACATATCTAGGAAGTATCTGTTGTGAAACGCAAATTTCCTATTACTTATGAATTTTTCCTTTCCTCTTTCCCTTCACAATACTCATAAAAAAGGAATAGAGTCTTGTTTCATTTTCAATTACATGTACATGTATAACAATTAAAAGTCAATACCTGATTAGAATGTGAGTGAGGCAATGTGCCTGACCCAGAGGTCGACTGACTGCTTGTGCTATGAGTATCAAATGGTTTTTCCCGCGGTGGGGGTGGGGCATAAAGCGCTCTCTGTGGTGCGGCATGACTAGGATAGTTTGGGGTACTGGGACGTGAGTTTGTAGGCGTAGGTGTTGCGTAACGAGTTTGAACAATCTTTTGGCACGCTGGAAATATAAAAAACATTTAATGAGAAAATACAGAATTACACATATCATATATAAGAATCACACAGTACAAGTAACTCAAGTAAAAATTTGTATTAAAATGCAACCCAAAACTAGCCCACCAATCTATCTCGACAGTACAAACACCGAAAAATGTATCAAGTTTGAGTCGATTTGCTGTTTGTTAATCCAAATAGAACATTTATGAATGATGTCAGTACACAAGCCTTTGTATGATCATTCTACCAAGCCTTTCTTATTACATTACTTAATAGTTCATAATACTTACCATGGCTCTCATTATAATTCATACATGGGACCTGAATTTCTAAATCCACCATATCTTTAGTACAACTCTTCACAGAATATTTCCTCTGCATTTCAATTTCTTTTCATTCATTGTGTAGAATTCCCAATCATCTGAATTACTTTTATTGCTACTCTTTATCAATGTGACATGCTCATTATGAGACAAAAATCAATTATAACAAGCAATTAAAGATCTCTTAATTATCACAATTACATTTCATTTAATGATTAACCTTGGTCACCGAGAATATAATGCACTTATTTTATATTAACAGAAATATCAAGAACAATTGAAAAGACTATATAGCAATAGTTATGTGAGAATATCTTTGATTAAAATTACTGATGTTTGGTAATAATTGAAATGTCCACTTTGAAGTATGCCTGTTAACCCAATTCCTTGCTAAATTGAAAAATCTAATTATAAAACTGTATCAGCTAAAATGTATGCTATTATGTCAAAATATTCTAATTAAAAAAAATCTTCATTTTGATATTTGAAATTTCATCATCTTCAAAAAGCTGGATCCCGGGATCTCGGAATAAAGTCCCTAATGTAAATTTTTTATGGTTGAAAATTTATTTTCAGACATTCCATCTTGAAATATTCTTAATAATGTCAACTATATGCATTTAGAGTTTGCGATCATTAATTTTATAATTTCCATGGGGGTATGGAAGATTCACCACCTTTGAGTACTCTCCTGAATATCTATCAAACATTCCTTTTGTGGTTAAAAACTTATTTTCAGACTTCACCAACTTAGCATCTTGGAACACTCTAAATAATGTTTATCTAAATGCATTTATGGTTGGTAATTTCCAATGAGGTATAGAACTTACCATCTTGGAATACTCTTTCCACGTTAAGTCCGTATGTGGCACATGTCTCATAATAGGAGCATCTCTTCAGGTCGGAGGCAAGCTTACGGGCCCTGGTGTCATCTATAACCCTGGGGTTACTCTCACTTATTGCATCTAAATAAGGAAACAAATTCATTTCATTTATAACTAATATACTACTACTACTAACTAATATACTGTTTATACGTATTCTTAGTTTTTAATTTAATAAGGAAATATTCATTGTGACTTGCATGTCTGGCATCTGTCTTGGCACTAATTTTGTTATAATCTGGTTGTAATATTATGTGACATCAAAGGTGAATGCGTACATACCATGTATACAATTACTTGTTGTACTTATTACTCATATACTTAATTTGTCACTTTGCTCATCTCAAAATGTTTTCCTTATATAATACATAGATACTTTTTACTTATCAGCCCCATGGCAATGAATGCAAAAATATCACATGTAGTTGAGTTAAGTACAAAAATTAATAATGAAAATGAAGTACAAAAAAAATCAAGTACACTGAAATGCAAAAGTGGTAACTTTCTCCAAAATAGGATTTAAAGATTTTGTCCAATATACATGCTGAGAAGAACACATTTCACCTGAAACACCAATTTAGCCTATTTATGCCAAGATTTAAGTAATATAAGAATATTAATTTTTTGTTGATATTCTATTTTACCACAATTATCATAAGAGAAATTTCCGACTTTGGTAAAATTACTTTTTACATTACTTTGGTGTAAGTTGAGTTACAAAGAGAGCTTGTAAAAGACATGAACATCAATTGATTCAACAGTTAATCATGTCTCGGGATTTATAATGGCAATCCGCGATTGAACAAGTTAGCACCAAATTCCATTAATATTGTTGCGTTGAATTGATTGTCTTCAGCTGACACCTCTGTCTATGGAAAACCTATAGAAGATAACAAGATATACAAGATAATAAGATTGCTTAATTGACTTCTGAAATAAAACTTGTTTGTAAAAAATAAAGTTCTTGGAATAATCAATGAAGCCATATAATATAAAGTACACACGCTCTGGAAGTGTCAGAGCGTGTGTACTTTATATTATATGGCTTCATACCCTGGCAACAGGGGATATCAACTCGTGATACCAACTCTCATTATTACGAATGCTTTAGCTATTTTAATGCCAATTACATCATATTATGTACTCAAGTGAATCTTCTATGACCTTTCACAAGAGTATGAACGTCAAAGGAATGGTAGCTACTTAATAAAGGCACAAAATGTAGTGACAAGATTTTCTCGATATAATCTTGATATAGGCAAGAGTAAAGGATTATTTCTAATCTAAAGAGTCCAGATGCCACTGAGTTCTTTCCAAGGGTTATTATTCTATTCTGAATGACAGAATCTTGGATTGACGTACTTCGGGCAGATTGACTTTACAACGTTCATAACAACAAGCTACTTTGATGGCATCATTTACAAAAAATTACAAAAAACGTCAAGTCAGATAAAACAAGGATTATAATCGATAGCTTTTAATCTAATTATGATCTGAACCGGTAGATACCACGGATCAATATCTAATGTTTGAATCCTTATTTTTCCAATTTTTGATAACCGGACCTTGCCTTTATTCCTTAGGGAAATATGGCTTTACATATTATCCCATTTACAAACTATGACATGAAAGAAGAACTACTCTTTTCATGGGTAAATATCGCCTATGGATGAATAATGGAGTCCAAACCAAACTAGAAAAATGGCCTCTATTTTGTTCTTGGAAGCAACAATAGGGGATGATGTCTTGAGACCTGTTTTCGGAGGATGTTAATATGCAAAGTATGTTAATATGTGGCGATTTTAACAAAACAAAACAATAAAGCCTACCTTGAGTTGCTACCAGGATAATAGGGATTTCAGCTGTGTTTCTGTAATGGGCCATTTTGGCATAATAACTATAGATGGTGTTAAAGCTCATCTCATTCTCCAAGCTGAATACGAAGATCACTGCATCACACCACTGGACAAACTGCAAAAGGAGGGGTTATATATTCATCTATTTTATTATTTATGTGCAATAGAACCTGTGTTGTGTGATCACTTCACAGGTATTTATCAAGAATGTCAATATTTTTCATATTCAACAGCTACCATAAAGACATCAGAAGCACCAAGGATGAAATGAACAACGTCATAAATGACTTGGAAATAATTGTATTTAGTATCCAAGAGAATTAATTCAATTCAAGTGAAACTGACATTGTTTACACATAAGGATGGCTAATTTGATCACAGCACAAGTGATCAGTTGTAAATACAGTTGATTAAATATGACACATGTTAAGTTTATGCAGATTTATCCTTTTGACCAGGTCAAGCCAACTCAGGACATGGTTGCATGCATGAACATTCTACACGATGCTTTTATTCCAAAGCTTTCATCATTGCAAGTTTCTGCAAAGTTCTTCTGCAATAAATGATATAAGATTTGTGCAAAATGAAACATTGATGCATACCTGCATTTCTGGTCCACCACCTTCATCTCTTATCAACAATAGGTGGCTCTGACCATCAATCACTACTTCCTTTTTGAATCTTCCACCTGAAAACAGAAAACAATGACATTTATAGCTCAGATGCACTAAAACATACAATGCAAAGCTGGAATCAAATGTTTTGTATAAGCCAGACAAGTGAATAAAGATAAATAAGTGTTCAAATTGTCAATGCATTCAGGCTATTACTTTTCTGAGAATGTACTTTTAAATAAGAGTGTACGGTTGAAAAGTTTGTCATCAATTGTCATTATAAAGGGCAGATGGCTTCATCTTTACATCAATCAAGCTGTTGGCTTCAGAACTCATCTAATATATTTGAATCTGGAACTTAGGAACAGTTCAAATCTCATATATCAAGTCAGCGGAAATCTTTACAAAAGATCTAATTTTCTGAACCATTTCCCTTGAAAATGAGGAAGACCAATTAGAATAAAGCAAACAGCATCGTTAAACAAGAATACCATGATCAATTCTCCTTATATGGCTAATATTTGAACTTCATCAATCTTATGTAGTATTAATAACTTCTTTGACCAAGGTAAGGTGACATTGATATTTAGCAAGTGATAATAATAAATCTTAAAGAAAGTCAAACAATAAACACAGAACATTTTCAACTCATGATACATTTCAGGAAAATTGATGTCTTAGATATTCATTCTATTTTTCATCCTCCCTATATAAGTTAATCAACGAATTCTCGATGGGTTAGCAAGTCCCATAACCATATATTATAAATCCTGAATTTAGAACTGAAATGAAGTAAAGCCAATCCAAAAAATGACACATTTCTCACATATTTCCATTTAAGGGATATAACTGAGAAATTACCAGGAAAAAAGAACTAGTGCCCTCTAATTATTGAGATGTTCCAGTAATGATCTGAAAGACAATATAGGAATGAGATATAATAAACCGAAAATGAAATATTTGTTATGGAACAGGAAATAAATGTCTGAAGAGTATTCACTTTGTCGAATTCAATAGCATGCAAAGCTCTTTAGAACTTAGAACCACAGATTCAATTTAGAGACTAGCAAATCAGGTTGATTCATGTATGTTTTATGTTTTATGCAGTTGCTATATATAAACAAGGGCAGAAATCAAGATTAAAGTCCAGAGAAAATACAATATGAGAGATATTTCATTTATTGGCAGACTGATTTACATTTTTTTTAAAGCATCTATTTGCTTGCTTGGGTCAAGAGCCTTTGGAGCAAAGACATTTTTAAAAATGTACAAAATTTAATCATAATGATAACTATATAACGACACATAATTCATATTTATTTTAAAAAACACATAATTCTGAATGATAATTTTTTAACTGACTGAGAATTATTAACTAAGAATGTAAATCACATTGTTATATATTCCAAGTAGAAACTAAATTACCCAATATCCATAATGCAAACAAATTAGATTACTTCCTGACATGAATCATATTTTAGCTCAAAAAAAACATGCAATGGGAATTCTGAGCCCCTGCTATATACAACAGAGGCTATGTTTCCCAGTCAAATTCATAAGTCAATGTCTGCAGAATGCCCCGTAGACTACATAAGTTTGAGTTCGCAGGATGCCCAATGGACTATCTTCTGTTTCACGCTTGATCGCCAATTCAATGTCAGTGAGAGTCAGATTATAATAACTCAACACTAATGGCCCATTGAATAACCATCAAGAAACGTTATGCTAATTTGGCAATGTTCTTTGCTAAAAGACATATTACATACACAAATTCTGAGCTTACCCTGTTTAGTATTCATACACAGTCTCAAGGTCAAGTTTAATGGCACTACTTTTGCATACAAATGGATTACTGTTATTGACATTATCTACTAAGTGAGATAGAGAAATCGTTTTAATTGACTACTGGGTACAATTTCTTTAGACTTCCATTTATATTCTTAAACTGATGGACGTCACATCAGGGCTTAAAATCTACACATAGAATTAAAATGGTCATGGTCAAAAATAACCTAATACAAATAAAAAAAAAAATCAAAATGTCAAGAAAATCAGGCCCAATATTTTAGCTTAAAAGGCTGTAGTGTATTGTACCTTAAAGAACATGATAACAGTTTCTTCAATATGCATGTCACTTAACCTTATTTCAAGGTGCTGTAGCCTAACCAAGTCACAATTCATTATTAAATGAAATTAATAAAAATATTCATGCATGTCTTTATAAAGAACAATATGTCAAGAAACAAGAAATAAAAAAAAATTCTAACTTATGTTAACGCCTCTCATTGTTGAAATTTTTTTAAATATCAGAATTCATCATGACAATCAATTGAGAAACCAAATGGCTCCAATCCGACACTTAAGTTTTATCACCCAACACAGGCCTTTTATCGCCTATTATGACATTGATGAATATTTGTATACGATTAGGGAGCAGTTTAAATCCTCAATGTTGTATAATAAATCACAGATTCAGCTGTTAGTGTTAAAAACATCATATATCATTGAATATATAAAACAAACACTTTGTTTTCCTTTTGTCAAAATTCAACAGAAATCTTAATGAAGTAATTTGTAATCAGCGATGTTATAAAGATTCAGACATTTTAAAGTACATTTTCTTGAAAGTCTGTATTTTGAGCTTGGTTTACGATTATAATCTGAACCCTTGAATGCATTTCCTTCTAAATTCAAAGTGTAATTGTTACTTTTATCTCTTTTTGTTTAACAGACAAGGTATACAGAAAGTACAGTATATGTTCTGAATATGGTCAAGAGTTATGAACATTTATGGCGAGCAAAAAGTATTCTTATTGTTATGTTATAAATGAGGGGTGATGAAAGTCCCATCACTATCATGTAAAAAAATACATGGTGAACAGATAATAAAGCAATCTAGTCCTAAAGATACAGGGTGTCCAGAAAATATCACATACCTTCAGGTGATTCCTCCTGCATGTAGGAGCCGGTAAGATAGCGATGAACCAGCGCAGACTTGCCACTGTTCACTGAGCCGAGGATGCCCTGAAATATATCAAAATAATTATATTGGAGCCAATAAGATAGCGATGTAATGTCATTCTTTTCATTGTTCAAAGGCTGAAACTGTGCAGGGATTGAGGTCTTTGGTCATGGTCAGAATAAAATGAGGTCATATATTTGCCATAAATCATAGAATCGAGGTTACAATTCTAATATGATAAACAAACCAGAAAAACAACTATTTGCATAAAGCAGTCATACATGCTCGATTATAGACCAGTAAATCAATTGAACTAGTAACTATGGCGTCACCTATCATATTAAAATAATGACAATAACATGGAATATTCTTATGTATTTCATACTTGAGTGGGTTTGGGGTAGATATCAACCGGGAATATATATCATATCTGAGGAGCGGGCAGGATATATTGTATATGTCCCACTCCAGGCCAAATGCGGGCAGATATAATATATCCATCCCGCTCCCGGGAATTTTTCAAAAGTTTAAAAAATTTTAAAATTTAAATTTCAGAAGTTTAAAATTTTTCAAAAAGTTTAAATGTTACAATTCTATTGTATTGAGCTGAAGGAATATTATGAAAATGTTAAATATAAATTGTGCTTTTACAGTATAGGCCTATCTTGTCATTTGAAAAAGGTGGTAAAGGTTATATCTACCCCAAACCCACTCAAGTATGAGATACACCAGTTATGTACGGTCGGTTTTGGATACAGTGTTTATCCCGCGGGAAATATGTGTATCTCCCTCGGTCCCTGCGGTCAGCACTACAGCACTACTACAGCACTACTTTGATTAGAGACACCTATGATGAAATACGTGTCAACAATTAACTAGCTGAAATGTCAGATAAATGTGACATAGAGGGACTCGCAAATCTAAGCAACAGTCAGATACTTAATTGCGATACACCTACGCATCATCCTTCCAAACCTTAAATTTTACATTTTTGCCTGCATGATTGTTTTGATACACCAAACCTAGTTTCATGAAAATATATTTGCTTGCCCTATATACCTTTTGTATGCCAAGATCACCTGGTTAAAGTAAGTGCTGACAGGACTTAAGAGGAACTCATCAATTTAAGGGTTGAATGTTAATGGATTAAAAACTTCACACTTCCCCAGGGGCTTCATGATATTACAGGGGTGAGCGGAGCTACGTTCATGGTGACCTTGACATTCGACCAAATTGCATCGTAGATTCAGAGATAAATCATAGAGTGTCATTTTCAAAGAATAGCACAAAATCTAAAATTAAAATCACAGTCCTTTGAGCCTGTTTGACAATCTTATTACATTCAAAGATTATTCAGATGAAACCTACTTTACAAAAAGCTGATTTGGGTTCTCACGGAAATAACTTGAAAGAACCTGCAATGATACTTCCCATTCCTTTAAAAGTAAAGTATTATTCTGAGATATTCCTGATGAAGTATCTAGATCTTAGTCTTGCACAGAGCCCATCTGTATTTCCCAAAGACATACATGTCTGCAGGCAAGAAAGAGCAACACCACAGTAATATAATAAAGAGAACAAGAAGCTAGATACATGACTGTTGTCAATTAGATATAAAAGATTGATTGAGAGATTCCCTTCAGCAAAATAAGTTAACTCAGTATTCTAGAACTGTCATTAACAACTGATGTTCACGCCACACATCCATTAAGTGTTTTTCTGATTTGAAAACACAATTAGATTATATATTCATCAAATAGTAATGTAATCAATCTTTTTGGAGCCATAGATAATTGTTAAATAAGCTAAGTAAAAAAAGAAATAGCAACGTAGATGGTAACTATTTATGCCATGTAGAAAAACTACTGAAGTAAGAAAAATAGGAAATAGAGAAAGTGGCGAAACAAAACAGTATGATGGTTATTTGACCCAGTCAACTGCTTGATATTATAGCTATTTGTAGTTACAGGGTACTTATCAGGATTATCATAGATTAAAATCAACTTCAAAACAACTTCATAATCTACGCGAAATGTTGTACATTTTAGAGAGCATCTCTTCATTATATAGCATTCCTCTTATAATATTTAGGCCTTTGATAAAAATAAAATATTTTCTCGCATTTTAAATTCAAACATTTCAACTAATTAAAATCGAAGACCCCTTGAACTTTTTTTAAATAAATGGTTAATTGCCCAATAGTCCATGATATGAGCAAATGATGTTTTTTCCCAGTGATTCAGAATTGCACAGATTGAAAAGCTAGTTCTGATTTAACAAAAGAATTTATGATAATTGAGTCAACTTATCCCAACTGTCACATATTTCTATGCTGTTATTTCTCAATCCTTGGCAATAATTTCATTAAATTTGATTATATCGAGGGAAGCTACTTTAGCCTAACTGGTAACATTTCTCGATGAATATACATCAAAATTGAGAATTGTTTTGACAAAAAGATCAAGAACTGTATTAGAAAGACATTCGACTAGGATAAAAACATTAAATTAGCAGAATGTGTAATAGAAGGTGAGAGATGGATATTGCTTTTGTATTGTAAAGATTCTGTTGTTCAAGACACCATATTGACGAAAGAGTATAGTAAAGTATTATGATGAATATCATCAACATGCTCAACTTAAGGAAAATGTAGGAGACTCAAAAATTACCAAAGCTGTTATAACTCAAAAACTTGGCATTTTAGGAAATTATGGCGAAAATAAATCTTCCATTTTTCTGTCTGAAAACAAAAGTTGCAAATTGCTTTTGTTGTCCAGGGACCTACTTCATCTTTCTTAGTTAACATAACTTACAAGGACTTCAAGCTCCAGTTGACGTGTCAGGAAATGAGAGGCCCAAAAATCACAAGTGGCATTTCTACCCATTACCATGGGAACATGTAAATGACTTAAGCTGTAGAAAACAGAGAGAGGGACTTAACAAATCAATATTTGACGAGACAGGGTATGATGTCTGTCTGAGTAGGTTATTGTCAATCCAAGCTGTGAACATATTTCACTTATCTTAATATGTATGGTTAATTAGCTCAAGCAGTCCCATCTTTTTGTCTCTATTAGATTATGTTCAATGTGTCCGCTGTTTGAACCCAACAAAAAATATTTCTATGGAAAATGGGAATTATAGTGAGGAACGGGATTTTGGATTCAAATGTTGACATCCTTCAATATATCATCAGCTCTAGTTTGTGAGATAGAAAATAGTATCATTGGTGGAAACTTGGAAACAAAATACAATAAATGATTCAAAAATTTATAACCATTCATGTTGAACATTTTAAAATGTTAAATGAAATACTAAAAGTATTTCAAAAATATTTATTTCAAAGTTTATTACATCGATGAAATCCTTTCTGGACTGGATGGATCACAGGTTCATATTTCAAGGACCATTGATCTCAATAAATCTTTATGATCTCCAATGAATGTAACTGCACTTACCAGTTTCAGGTCTGGGACTGATCTGGCCAGTGTCCATTCTTGACTGTTTACAAAGGAATCTGAAAATATAAGACAGGGGGTTGATTAATTTTATTAGTTTTGAACACTAACATAGTAACTTTCTATAATCATACAAATGAGTAAAACAATTATAAATGTTGAAAAATATATAAATTAATAATGTTCTCTATTGAGCTATTGTTGTTTATGTTCTATTGTATTGTGTTTTGTATTATAATTGTAATCTTGTGTTATATTGTGCTGTGACTAGTTGAATATACTTATAATACCTCAGATTGAGAAACCCAACATCTATTGAAATAAAAAAATATCTTTGGCTTGATGAACAGCAATATGAACACAACATATTGATTCATATCATTGAAATTCAAATCTGAGCATCAATCACCTCACTTATATTGAATCCTCGCATAATATGCTCTTTTCCTCACCATTTTCAAGAAATTGTAACTTTTAGATAATAGTAAAGAAATAAATATGTTCAATTTCGTTTCATCAACATTTTCAAAAACGTATCATGTACCAAATCAATATTGAAATATGTCTGAATATTCAGACAAGTATTGAATCATCAGATAATATAATGTAAGACCTCTAATATAGATCAAGTAGAAGAAATTTGTTATAATTATAGTATGTTAACCCGTAGCTCACCTGCTACATGATCATGTAACACATAACACAGAATTAATATACAAATTATATAACATTACATATGACAACTTAGTGCTGTTAAACAAGGATGTCTTACATTAAGGCAACATGTTAATTCCCAGAATATCTTCAAGTGGTTAAATGGTAAATGAAAACAGAGAATGAAATCTTGTGCTAAGGGCTAATGTGAAAGAGACTGTCAGTCTCCCTAAGTGGGGATTGAACCCACGACTCCCCACTTTCCGGGCGAGTGCTCTACCACTGAGCTAAAGAAACCTGCATTTCCTTGAGGCTATGAGGCCAGTAAAATGTGAAGCACAATGAGCTAAAATCGTATGATTGAAAGGGGTACCCATGTAGATACCCTGGATCACCATAGGCTAGCTAGACTACAAACTACCCAGGCAGGCGACAAAGATCTCTTGTAAATGGTATATCCATATCTTAACATCCCCCCAACAAAGGCCTAATCAATGATAACACAATAAGCCCATTCTGAAGCAGGACCTAAATTCGTTAAATTAATTCTCATTGATTTCAAAGTTAAACAATTCAGCAGTATAGACACACAGGAGATCAAAACTAATCCTCGAGATAATGTAAAGTTATCTCTGGCGTGTTCATCAGGTGGTTTTTCAATTATTTTGGGCATAATTTTAGATAACTAAAGAATTCAATTTTTCTTTTTGGAAGGATAAGTAGAATTGATTTGTATATCAACAGGAGGAAGAAAGGATTAGATACAACATCAATAATCAAGGTCAAGTTCAAAGTCAAGTTCAAGCAGCACTTTGTACATGATTGATCTTCTTAACTAAGGATTACTTTTCAGTGTAAGAATCTAAGCCTCTTACTTGGTGTCTATCAGCCAGAAGCAGAAGGGACTTTATGCAAACATTGTGCTTGAGAGTAGGGCAAGAAAATATCCCCCATACAATTCAGGGGTTTCACATTAGCAGCAGGCAACATACGATTTTCACCAGTTGTTTTCACAAAATCGCCTGTTGTTTTAGGGACTTTTCAACTTTTCCATGTTAAATTTATCATTTCCATTAATTTTGCCTTTTGTTTTAATTTATTTAGCTTGTTGTGAGAAATTCTAGTGAAGCCCCTGCAATTGTCTTCTATGATGACTTTAACCCCATCAATTTACATGTACATTGTTGATGGGAATAGAAACTAGTTAATGCTTTATTTTCTAGTTTCATTTTCATTTTGCAAATCATTTTTGTGGACAACAAAACTATTTATATCTAATATAAGGAAGAACTCAACAAGCCCTTGTTCAGCCCTTTCTTCAAAAACAAACCAAAAGCCAACATCAGATCTGAACTCTACTTTGGTTTTGCAAAAGATGTTTTGATGTAACGCAAGGACATTTGTTGACTTGGGCTATCAATAGAAACCATGTTTAGCTCATTAAATAACAGATCCCAAAAGCTTTTATAGGATGTACGATTACAATAGATGTTTTTTATATTATGTGTTTTTATCCAGTGCTCTGTTTGAAAGACAACATACATGTGGAGCTCTGTTTCCGCCATCTAATTCTGCAGAAAATGAATGAACATAACAGAAACAGGATTACATATGCCTGACTTCTCAGGCTGATAGGGCATCAAAAACCATTTTCATTCAAAATGTTACCTAAGCAATCTCCCATGAAGTGAAGTTTAAAATGGATTAATTATAATATAAGATTATATATTCAGAATCTTTGATATAAAATGAGTAAAGCACATTTTAACAAAGATAACATGTAAATGAAACCATGTAAGTTTCCAGGGGCCTGGAAGGACTACAAAACCAAACCCTCATTGTCTTAAGAAAGTCAAGTATCTTAAAAAAGTCAAAACTTTGATCAGCCAGGGATAATCTTTTTTTTTTAATTCCAGGTGCACATCTTATGTTAATCATCTATAAGGCAGGGCCAATCTTCACTATGAGGCAAATCTTTACAGTATGAGGTGCTAATTATATGAACCCAGACCTTCTTTTTTATAATGTGGCTAATAACAGGGACTTGAAACCTGAGCTACAGAAGAATTGTCTCCATATGTTTGAGAGATACACCTGTACACCCTTCATACAACATTAAAAATACTTACTTAGAAATTAAAAACAGGCCAGGCTAATGCATTTCAAGTGTACTTTTGAAATAATCACATAGACAGCTCTAACTTAAGATTGAACTCATTTTCCTTTTTGAAATTATTTCAGCCACAATTCAAATTACATGTACCAGGATCTAACATATTAACATAATTTACATTTAAGTAATCATAGGGCATTAAATGATTCTAAAACATTCACAAACAAACAAAAAACGTTTCAAAATACCATTCCATCAAACCTGACAATGCTTTACATATTAGTTGGCTTAAAGTAAAAAACATCTGGTCGCTATTCTAATTTGTTAACCAGGTATTTGTTTTTTATTCAAACGTATGGTGTAAACTGGGTGTAAACTGCAAAAACATGAACCCAGGACCTGACCTTATAAAAACAACATTTCACAAATAAAGGAACCAAGTTCATCTTTAATAGTCTTGCTTCAAGCCCTTGTGAAGACCCATCTAAAACCAACCCATTAAGGTGAAGTAGAAAAGTTGACAGAGACCTGATCAAAGACTAATCTTTGACTGTATACTGTTTTAAATAATTGTGCTTTTAATTTTTATATTAGATAAATGTTCTTTTAAATTAATCGAGAAGTATTCAAAATATAAAATCCCAAAATAAGGCTGAACTATAAAAAAAAAAGATGTCTTCAATTTAACCAAGATTTCAAGCTCATTTCATGATACCAGGTGAGAAGGCAGAAACTTAAGATGCACAACAATAATATTAGGCAAAATGTTTGACATAATTGTGAGAGTCATCCAACATGTTTAACTTGAGAAACAGCCACGTGAGATTTGTGAAAAAGACATATGTGCATGTATAATCAGTCTTTTATGTGATCTCTAATTCATGTATATTATGCATGATCTTGAAATGTCAAGATTCCATCAATTCTTTATGATAATTGTACAATATATCCTTAGTTACATGATATTTGTGAACTTGAGACTGTTAGACGCAATTGACATAAATTGTCAATGAAAAGCTATAACTGATTATTAATCAATAGATATGTTTGATTTTATTGTTATTAGGCAGTTATCTTCTAAGACACACGAAAGTAGTTCAGAAGTGAAGTTTTACTGAATTGGCAATTGGTGGCTGGAATTCTTCCTTATTATCGTAAAATAAACAAGCATTGTGTCAATCAGAATGGATGTGACAACATTCACGTATTATAGTAATGAGTGTTTCACTGTTACTTCATGTTTTTACTCACTGTACATCTACAAGCACAATGCTTCTTCACAGCAGATTTAGATATAAAGTATGGATTAAAAATAATGTTTAGGGTTGGTCTGTTGATTGTTTGAATGTTTATGATTCAATAGTATCTCTGTATCAATTTCATGACAAACAAGTTATAGAAAAATAATTCAATTCACATATTTTAAACAAATAAACCCATTGTCAATTTTCAGGTTTGCCTATTGTGCTTATTGCTAAATAAAACAAGAAAGATATCAATTCACCATTAAGAGGCGACAAAAACAATCATTGAGACATTTATGACAAACATAGACAATAAAGAATGCAACAGTTTATGTATAGACTGGCATATATACTATACATATACTACATTCCCTATATACCACAAATAGCTTAGTTTATGGGGACCTTATAAAGGTGCTTGACAGGAGAATGATTTATTGTGAGAGAGAGTAGAAGTTTGTTACTTTCTATATACCCAAAGAGCACCAAAGGTCACTTGTCAACATTACTGAATAAAAACATTATAATCTGGATCATTAATTCTTTTAACTATACTCTTTTTCATAATTTCTAGGGTTGCAATATTTTATTTTACATCGTATTAAAATGAAAGTACACTTTATAGACTTAAGTTGGTAGATGGGCAAATAAACATTATAATATGCAGTTTTTCAGTTTGTTACATTTTTTCGTATATTTTGTGTCCACGAGGAAATTATCTCTAACTTTAGTAATTTCCTGAAGTCGTCAATCAGGATGATTAAACCAGGTGTAAAACATCGTGTAGATGTCAGTAAATTAATTTTGCGTTCACTTTGTAAACAATAATGATAAAAATGATTAAAATCAGGAGTGAACCTCAGGACACAACATCTCAGCTTATTAATAGTTGCAGATCTCAACAGTTCAAGGCAGTAATGAGAAACTGCAATAAATATTGTCAAGTTATCATAAAAATCAACAGTAGGTTCATCTTCTGTCCATCCATAAAGCATAAAACAGGAGTCTGAAATATGCAGGGATGGGCTAAACTGTAAAATGGTTGAAA